CGTCATTTGTCACTCAACATTGGCGGGAGGGGGCGTGACGAGGGTTGTGGTGGTGGGGGGCTTCCCCCCCTCGTCACCCACCCCCACCACTCCACATCCATCCCATGGCTATGTAGGTCGTGGCGGGGTCTGTGTGTGTGTGGTGACGAGGGTGGCAGGGTGTGTGTCTGTGCGTGTGTGGGTGACGAGGGTGGCAGGGTCTGTGTGTGTGTGTCTGTGTGTGTGTGTGTGTCTGTGCGTGTGTGGGTGACGAGGGTGGCAGGGTCTGTGTCTGTGTGTGTGTCTGTGTCTGTCTGTGTGTCTGTGTGTGTGTCTGTGTGTGTGTCTGTGTGTGTCTGTGTGTAATAGCTGCTCATTCAGAAGAGGAGTTGGAGGCGCTGCTGCTGAGACTGGAGCGTGCCACTAAGAGGTGGGGCCTTACCATCAGCCCCACCAAAACCAGGCACCTGCCTGGGTATTTTGTACCATCGGACACTCCACCCCCACAACTCCCAATTGGTGATGGGGCAGTTGTGGAGAGAGTGGAGAGTTTCCCATACCTGGGCAGTGTGCTTATGACCGGCTCCAGTCTATCAGCAGAGGTCTCACTCCGAATCAGTCGAGCGGCAATATCTTTTCATCGGTTGCGTAACGCTGTGTGGAAGCTACCTGGTCTGTCGCTCCGCACGAAGCTTCAGGTCTTCTCGGCCACGGTCATTCCCTCCCTTCTCTACGCTTGCGAGACGTGGACCCCCCTGGTGGAGCATCTTCGCCGGTTGGAAACATTTAGGCTGGCCTGCCTACGATCCATCCTGGGTTTAACCAGGCTGGATTGTGTGAGGAGCTCACAAATCCTTGAAAGATCTGGGCAAAGTCCCATCAGTGAGCTCCTCCGGCAGGCAAGGCTGCGTTGGCTGGGTCATGTAGCCCGCATGCCCAGCCACCGCATGCCTAAACAGCTTTTGTTCGGCCGGATCGAGGGGGCTAGACGGGCGCGGCACGGGCTGGAGAAGAGATGGAGTGATGTGGTACAGGAGGACGTGGAGCTGAGTGGACTTGCCGATGACTGGTACCAGCGGTGTCAAGATCGGCCTCAGTGGAGGAGGCTCGTGAAGGACGCTACTGGGCAGTTGGAGGCAGTCGCCCTCCAACAACAACGGAGGGCGGAGGAGCGACGCTCACAACAACGAGCGGAGCGCCGGGTGGCTAAAGCACAGCAAGTTGGCACAGTAGGGGGCACAGGTGGTGCATCAGCCAGTCATCTCGGTCATCTCGGTCAGTCGACCAGTGGCACCTGGGTCTGCCCCGTGACCTCCTGCCAGCGGGCTTTCGACACTTCACGTGGCCTCAAGGTGCACTTGGCCTGGCACAAGCATCGTGGTGACGTCACCGCCACTTAGTGGCGAATGGCGGTTGTTGTTGTTGTTGTTGTCTGTGTGTGTGTCTGTGTGTGTGTCTGTGTGTGTCTGTGTGTGTGTGTGTCTGTGTGTGTCTGTGTGTGTGTCTGTGTGTGTGTCTGTGTGTGTGTCTGTGTGTGTGTGTCTGTGTGTGTGTCTGTGTCTGTGCGTGTGTGGGTGACGAGGGTGGCAGGGTCTATGTGTGTGTGTGTGTCTGTGTGTGTGTCTGTGTGTGTGTGTGTCTGTGTGTGTGTCTGTGTGTGTGTCTGTGTGTGTGTCTGTGTGTGTCTGTGTGTCTGTGTGTGTGTCTGTGTGTGTGTGTGTCTGTGTGTGTTTGCAGATTTGCTGAGCATTTCTGTGAAGTCCTGGGGGAGGGAAATTCTCTCAGCCAGGAAAACATCATGGCACAAAGTGGTGATAACCCTGCTGAGGCTGCGGTGCCTCAAATATTGGAAGAGGTCACCCCCTGTGAGTGGCTGGCTGAGGTGCCAGCTGTTGAGGAAGTACTGAGGGCGATCCGGAGTCTGAGACCAGGGAAGGCATCGGGCAGAGATGATCTCCCAAGCGAAATGCTGAGGGAGGGTGGCGTTTGTGCACAGACTGCCCTATATGACATCATAACAACAGTCTGGACCACTGGACGGGTTCCGCAGGACTGGAAGGATGCCCTGGTGGTTCCCCTCTTTAAGAAGGGGGACCGTACCGACTGTAACAACTACAGGGGCATCTCACTCCTCAGTGTGCCGGGTAAGGTCCTGGCAAGGATTATTCAACATCGCCTTGCTAGGCACGCTGAGGAGAGGCTTGCGGAGCCCCAATGCGGTTTCAGGAAAGGGCGGTCCTGCACAGATGCCATATTTTCTGTCCGTCTGCTACAGCAGAGGTGTAGGGAATTCCAAAAAGACCTACATCTCTGCTTTATTGACCTGGTCAAGGCCTATGATACCATCAGTAGGACTGGGCTCTGGGTTGTTCTTCGTGCTTTCGGAGTCCCTGACCCTCTGCTCACGATCATTAAGGACCTTCATGATGGTGAGCGGGCCCGGGTAAAACTACGTGGCCGGGAGTCGGAGCCTTTCCCTGTACACCTTGGGGTGCGACAGGGATGTCCTCTGGCTCCCACATTATTTAGCATCTATTTTGACCGCGTAGTTCGTGAAGCCTTCAATAGCTGTACCGGAGGAATTTCCATTTGGTACAGATATAATGGGAGGCTGATCGACGCCCGGGTGCGATCAAGGGATGGCTCCCTATTGGTCAACCACGTTATGTATGCCGATGATTTGGTAATAGCTGCTCATTCAGAAGAGGAGTTGGAGACGCTGCTGCTGAGACTGGAGCGTGCCACCAAGAGGTGGGGCCTTACCATCAGCCCCACCAAAACTAAGCACCTGCCTGGGTATTTTGTACCATCGGACACTCCACCCCCACAACTCCCAATTGGTGATGGGGCAGTTGTGAAGAGAGTGGAGAGTTTCCCATACCTGGGCAGTGTGCTTATGACCGGCTCCAGTCTATCAGCAGAGGTCTCACTCCGAATCAGTCGAGCGGCAATATCTTTTCATCGGTTGCGTAACGCTGTGTGGAAGCTACCTGGTCTGTCGCTCCGCACGAAGCTTCAGGTCTTCTCGGCCACGGTCATTCCCTCCCTTCTCTACGCTTGCGAGACGTGGACCCCCCTGGTGGAGCATCTTCGCCGGTTGGAAACATTTAGGCTGGCCTGCCTACGATCCATCCTGGGTTTAACCAGGCTGGATTGTGTGAGGAGCTCACAAATCCTTGAAAGATCTGGGCAAAGTCCCATCAGTGAGCTCCTCCGGCAGGCAAGGCTGCGTTGGCTGGGTCATGTAGCCCGCATGCCCAGCCACCGCATGCCTAAACAGCTTTTGTTCGGCCGGATCGAGGGGGCTAGACGGGCGCGGCACGGGCTGGAGAAGAGATGGAGTGACGTGGTACAGGAGGACGTGGAGCTGAGTGGACTTGCCGATGACTGGTACCAGCGGTGTCAAGATCGGCCTCAGTGGAGGAGGCTCGTGAAGGACGCTACTGGGCAGTTGGAGGCAGTCGCCCTCCAACAACAACGGAGGGCGGAGGAGCGACGCTCACAACAACGAGCGGAGCGCCGGGTGGCTAAAGCACAGCAAGTTGGCACAGTAGGGGGCACAGGTGGTGCATCAGCCAGTCATCTCGGTCATCTCGGTCAGTCGACCCGTGGCACCTGCTGGGTCTGCCCCGTGACCTCCTGCCAGCGGGCTTTCGACACTTCACGTGGCCTCAAGGTGCACTTGGCCTGGCACAAGCATCGTGGTGACGTCACCGCCACTTAGTGGCGAATGGCGGTTGTTGTTGTTGTTGTTGTGTGTGTCTGTGTGTGTGTCTGTGTGTGTGTGTGTCTGTGTGTGTGTGTGTCTGTGCGTGTGTGGGTGACGAGGGTGGCAGGGTCTGTGTGTGTGTGTGTCTGTGTGTGTGTCTGTGTGTGTGTCTGTGTGTGTGTCTGTGTGTGTCTGTGTGTGTGTCTGTGTGTGTGTCTCTGTGTGTGTGTCTGTGTGTGTGTCTGTGTGTGTGTGTCTGTGTGTGTCTGTGTGTGTGTGTGTCTGTGTGTGTGTCTGTGTGTGTCTGTGTGTGTGTGTGTCTGTGTGTGTCTGTGTGTGTGTGTGTCTGTGTGTGTGTCTGTGTGTGTCTGTGTGTGTGTGGGTTGATGGAGGCGTGGACTGCTGCCGCGGGACCACAGTCGACGTGGAGGCGCAGTCGAGGTGCTGTGTGCAGCCACTGTCACTGCCCCGCCACTCCCGCTGTATTGACGCTCTCACCGAGTTCTCTCTTAACTTTAGTGGGGGGGGGGGGGGGGGGTCTCTCTCACCGAGTTCTCTCCTTTTTTTTACGATCAGTGGAAACAAGAAGATGCTCGGTGTAGTCGGCACTTTGCTTCGTTCATCATTTCGTATTTTTTTTAGAAATAATAACTTTGCTCACTCTCTCGCTCACTCTCTCTCTCACTCTCCCCACACTCCGCCTCCTCTCGCTGTCGCCCTCTCCACTCACGCTGCTTCTCCCCCCACCCCACACCACCCCACACACCACCCCACACACGCCCTACACTCTCCAGCTATCGCTCCCTTCTCTAAACTCTCTGACCACTCCCTCTGCCGACACACACACGTCACGTCTAAATTAACTTGCTCTGTCTCTCTCTCTCCCCTTTAACTCTCTCTAAAACTTTCCCCCGCACTCTCTAAAGTTTACGGTCTAGAGTCTAAACTCTTCCCTAACTCTCTCCCACCCATCGCTGTGTAAACTCTCTCCTCTCGCTCTCCCCCCCCCCCCCCCCCAGTTAAAAATCGCCCCCGCCCCTCACCCCACTCCCCCCAGCCCCGCCCCTCACCCCCCTCACCCCGCCCCTCACCCCGCCCCTCACCCCCCTCACCCCGCCCCTCACCCCCCTCACCCCGCCCCTCACCCCCTCACCCCGCCCCTCACCCCCTCACCCCGCCCCTCACCCCACTCCCCCCAGCCCGCCCCTCACCCCCCTCACCCCGCCCCTCACCCCCCTCACCCCGCCCCTCACCCCCCTCACCCCGCCCCTCACCCCGCCCCTCACCCCCCTCACCCCGCCCCTCCCCGGTGCCAGGCCCGGCCGCGGCTCCGTGCGGCCCGGGGCTTCACTCATCCTGCTCCTCCTACACCCCAACATCCACATCATCATCATCGTCGTCGTCGTCATCATCCCTCCTCCTCCATCCTCATCTTGCGCTGCTCTTCATCATCTTCGTCGTCATCTTCATCATCATCCCACTCGCTCCATCTCCTCCTCCTCCTCGTCGCTCGCCCCGGGCCATGGCGCTGCGCGGCCTCCGCTCCGTGCCGGCGGCTCCGGCCGGGAGAGGAGCGGAGTGAGAGGGCGTCTCTCCCGGGGGGCTGCCTCCTGCCCCCCCCGCTTCTAGGACTCTCTCCTCCGACTCCCAGGGACCCCCCCCCCCCAGCTCCAATCACCTCCCCTCGTCTCTCCCGGGGGGTGTACCCCCTTTCTTAGCCCTGGTCTCTACCCCCCTCGCCCCGGGGTCTCCCCGCCGCGCCTCTGGGGCCGTGGAAGATGCCGGACGCCAAGGTGACGGTGGCCGTCAGAGTGAGGCCCATGAGCAAGAGAGGTCAGTGCCCCCCCCCCCCTCTCCTCCTCCTCCTCACACCCCTCTTAGGGGGGCTCTCCCTCGGCTATCCCCTCTCTCTTCCCCAACGCTTCCATAACTTTCTCTCTACCCCTCGTGCCTCGCTCCATCCCCTGTGGCCGTCTCACGCCGCTCCCTCCTGCTGCATCTCTCGCCTGACTCCTCTACATCTCCTCCTCCTCCTGTTTCTCTCCCAATCTCTCCCCTCACTCCCCCGTCTCTCTCTCTCTCCACGTCCCACCACCCCCTTGTCTCACTCCCATGTCTCTCGTCTCCCACCCCCGTGCCCACCACTCCCCGGCGGGCTCTCTGTTCTCCATCTCTGGCGCTCCCCGCGTCTCTCTCCCCTCTCAATGCCCCGTAGCGCCCCGCGTCTCTCTCCCCTCTCAATGCCCCGTAGCGCCCCGCGTCTCTCTCCCCTCTCAATGCCCCGTAGCGCCCCGCGTCTCTCTCCCCTCTCAATGCCCGGCCCCGCGTCTCACTCCGGGGCCTGTCCACGGATCTCCTCCCCCGTCTCACTCCATGTCCCACTGCCCCCCCGTCTCACTGCCCCCCCCCCCGTCTCACTGCCCCCCCCCCCCGTCTCACTGCCCCCCCCGTCTCACTGCCCCCCCCGTCTCACTGCCCCCCCTCACTGCCCCCCCCTCACTGCCCCCCCTCACTGCCCCCCCCCCTCACTGCCCCCCCCCCCTCACTGCCCCCCCTCACTGCCCCCCCCTCACTGCCCCTCACTGCCCCCCCCCTCACTGCCCCCCCCTCACTGCCCCCCCCCTCACTGCCCCCCCCTCACTGCCCCCCCTCACTGCCCCCCCCTCACTGCCCCCCCTCACTGCCCCCCCCCTCACTGCCCCCCCCTCACTGCCCCCCCCTCACTGCCCCCCCGTCTCACTGCCCCCCCCGTCTCACTGCCCCCCATCTCACTGCCCCCCCCCGTCTCACTGCCCCCCCTCACTGCCCCCCCCCTCACTGCCCCCCCCCTCACTGCCCCCCCCCTCACTGCCCCCCTCACTGCCCCCCCCCTCACTGCCCCCCCCTCACTGCCCCCCCCTCACTGCCCCCCCCTCACTGCCCCCCTCCTCACTGCCCCCCTTCTCACTGCCCCCCCTCACTGCCCCCCCCTCACTGCCCCCCCCTCACTGCCCCCCCTCACTGCCCCCCCCCTCACTGCCCCCCCCCCCTCACTGCCCCCCCCATCTCACTGCCCCCCCCGCATCTCCCCGGCAGAGCGGGACCTCAACACCCGCTGCGTGGTGGACATGGATGACAACCAGACCGTGCTCTACCCTCCCGACAGCGGCGGCAGCGGTGGCGGCGTCAAGGCGGACGGGAGGTGAGAGACTCAGCTGGGGGAACGTGGGATGGGGTAATCACCCTGAGATGAGTCCACGAGTCTGGGAAGAGATGAGTGGAGAGTGATGGATCTGTGAGAGGCATGAGTATACGCGTGTACTGTATAGCCCATGCGGCAAGACGAGATGAGATGCAAGTCGTTACTGTGTAAGATGCAGTCAGATTCTCTTTGGCCTGTCACTGTCCTCCCAGTTCGCCATGATCAACTTGAGCATATCTCATCCAGCAGTGGCTAGAGCATTGTTCATGTTTGGGGAGATATCTGGGAGTCTTCAGTATTCTCCGCATAACCGAGACCCGTAGGCTCACACAGGGACTTCATAGACTCACGCAACAGACCCATAGTCTCACGCAAGAGACCCAGAGACTCGCACAGAGACCCATCGACTCTCTTACATATTTCCAGCGCGGAAAGGGCAGCCAATCCCGCATGTGTGGCGGAGGATACGTCCCACAGTGGGACAGAGTCGGCCTCTCCCTTGCGCCGACAGGAGCGTTGGCTATTGGCACAGCGAAAGCGGAGCACATCGCACCTGAACCTGTTAATCTGGCTCCGTGAGAGCCCAAAACGGCGGGGAGCCCCACGCGTCTGGACGAGTGATGATGCGTGCTGAAGGTGGCAGTCTCTCTCGCTCGCTCCCCCGGAGACGGATAAAGAGAGATCCAACCGGCGTGAGATGAGCGAAGCGGTGCTCGTCGGGTGATCGAAGAGTGGTAGCTGTGACGAAAGTCACGATCGGTACGTTTGCCGAATAAAAGAAAACAAACCGTGGAAGGGACACGACCTGAAGGCACCACGATGTGCGGGCGCCTAAGGGCGGTTGTTGTTGTTGAAGGCGGATGGGGCCCAAACTGATGAAATAAAGAGCAGAAGTAGAGCCTTGAGACAGTCGAACAAGACGAGAAGGAGCAAAGCGATGCATCTCAAAAAGGACCTCCATCGGTGCACACCGCACACTTGGAATTACACCGAGAGACCGAAAAAGGAACGGTGCATGGGAGAACAATACGCAAATCCGAGACGTCGCATTGACAAGAACGGTGCAATGAGCTTGGGAAGAACACAACGCTGGACCGGATGATGGGCGATGGATGAGGCTGGTGACGGAATGGCAGGATGACTATCGCGGAGATTGAGCGATCAGATCGGTGTGTGCGTGTGTGCAAGAGTGAGTTGGGTGGTTGGTCGCAGCCGTGGACCGTGAGGGATGGCGACGACTTGTGGAGCCCTTCATCCAGCAGTGGAGAGACAAACACGGCTGACGAGGATTAACGGCGACCAGTTGAGCGGTAGAGCGATGAAACGGAGAGATGTACATGAAGAGTGATGGCTGACAGGTGAATGCAGAACCGTGGCCGTGTCGTGAGTAAAAGGGCATTGGTTTGAACGTGACGGATGCAGGTGAGCGAAGAGATTTGTCTGAGGTGAAGAGAGTAGAACGAAACACGCACACACACAATTGTAACTGGTGTTGGCCAAAACATGCCAATGCTGAAAAGTTACGCTTGCAGATTTCTCAACCGAGGTTTAGGCACGTGGCAGCAGCATCGGCAACCTTCTGCGAAAAACTTTGCCAGGAATGGCCCTCCTGAAAGAGAGTCTTCAGATTTCGGCGAGGCTTTCCTGTAGTAATAAGCAAGAGTAAAGTGCGAGTGAGGACAGAGGATCAGAACCAGCATATTACTTTTAGACTAGAGGAATCCAATGAGCTCTTCTTCACACATGTCCAGTAGTTTCACAGATTTCCAGTAGATTGTTGTTGTGGTTGGATTCTCCTGCCCCCCCCCCCCTCCAACGCGCTCCATTTACTCTCCCTGTTCCTGTTTGGGACGTGGCCGCACTCGTAACAAACCACTTTCTACGTGCAAGCTGTTTTGATATTCAATCGAGTCACTTGCCTGCGCTTTGCCCCCTTAACCGGACGTGTCTTTTTTGTTACTTCGTCACTAATCAACGGTCGGTCGCTGTAACTCGCACCGCGAGGAGGTGATGACATTCAAGGGGAGGTGGTGACATTCGAGGGGGGGTGGTGGGGGGGGATTTCCTTAAAACAATACAATACCCAACTCTGCTGCTGGTTGAGTCGGTGACTGTACCGTGGCAGCAGGGTGCGAGGTTAGTAGCAGCTGGAACGGTGCTCATCACTCGGGGCACATTGGGTACTTAGTGGCGGAGCTGTCATGTGCGGGTCACGTCATTGCTTTGGGCACCTACGGCGTGGTGCTGCAGCCCTCCCCACGCCTCTCGCCTCGGCTGTGCCCGCTCTCATCCGTCGCCCAACTCGAGCTGGACTCGGAGCCACGCGAAGAATTAGTCTGAAAAAGTTTCGCAATTTTTTTTGTCTACGCGAAACCCGTTGACGTCAGCGTATCGGTTACGCGACAGCTTCCCCGTGCCACGTTCACCCTGGGCTTAGTTTTTTTCGATGCCGGGTCTTTCTGGGTCGGCGACTCGGAAAAATATTCCCACCGCCCTGGCACACCACATCCGTGAATACGCGCTCCGCAAAAGGCTGTGGCTACGATGCGGCACGCGCCACCCGGCAGCCTTCGCGAGCGGGGCGACGTCCGGAAAATATCCAGCGAGCAGCGAAGCCGGCGGTGCGAGAGCGGTGTATAACGCGGGGCACAATTGCTGTGCTTGCGTGACGTTTTTAAAAATAGAATATGATCTACGTGCTGGTTTAAAAATCGGGTAATTCGAGCAGAGCTCGTGGCCAGCATAGAGCTCTCAGGTGGATGTAATAATGTTCTCTCTCTCGTCTGCCCCGGGGGTGAATTCGTAATGAACTCGAAGCCGGAATGTGCCCCATCTCGTCAGATCTCTTCGAAGCTAAGCGGCAATAAGTCCGGACGACGGCTTGAATGGGTGACCACCACTCACGCCGGGGTTGTCACGGGCAGCTGCGGTGGGGGGCTGTTGCTACCAGGTGGTCAGCAGAGGGCAGTGTGGTGGACATGCATTGGCACACTGTGCTTCTACCGATCGGGAGTTTGGACCCGCAACTGACCGGCTCGGAGAAGTGTGGTCAAATAACACCCACAAACCCCCACACCGGGTTGGGGAGGCCCTAATTCGGCAGTGACTTGACAAGGAAGGCTGCGCACACGTACAGTCGGGAGCAGGCGGCCTCTGCCATGTGATGTGATGACAACACTGCACCCTGTGCTTAGCCGCTGTGGGCGGGAGGGAAGAAGGTGGGGGGGCTGGGTGCTGTCTGCCCGCACTGTGGGGGGAGATGCTGGAGCCACGGTTCGATGGTCGCGCCCGAGTGGTGCCGTCAGCCCCGGTTTAGCAGTCCCATGCTGGCCTATCGCCGCTGACCACAGACAACGGAGACGCAGATGTGGCGGCGTGCGCGATGAGGAAGCGCGCCAGTGTGCGCGCCTCGTGTGCAGTGGCGTAAAACAAAATCCGTTGGCACTTAGTGGCATATTTGTTGGGGAAATCCCTGTAGCTCATGTCCCACAAACAAGATTTACAATTACGTCGCTTCCATGCTCTGTGCCTTGTGTCTCTCTGGCCCCATGCCCCATGTCCCTGTGTCCCCATGTCCCTGTGCACCCCCTCTATCTATGTCCCTGTGCCCCGTGTCCCTGTGTACCATCTGTTCCTGTGTCCCTCTTGCTCAGTGGCCCCATGTTCCTCGGGCGGTGTCATTGTCCCTCTGTTCCTGTCCATGCCCCATGTCCCTGTGCCCCCTCTGTACCCCGTTGCCCCGTGTCCCTGGACCAGTCAACGTGTGCCTTCCGATGTGCCGCTTATTTTGTACAGATTTTCTTAATGCTATTGCTTTTATTTAATGTAATCTGTTTCATCTCTTTTTCTCTCCCACCCCTCTCCCGTTGCATTCTGCAAAATTAGAAAACAACCTAAGGTAAGCCGACGCTTGTTATTACCCACGTGCAAGAAATCATTGATCTCGTATCACTGTATCACCTCTGTATCGCAGTTTCACCTCCGCTACCCAATGTCTCCTACCAAGACTATTTAAGACTATGTAAGTCTGCGTTTTCCGAAAAAATTCCAGTTTATGAAACGCCGACATCCTTCCTTGCTTCTATGGCGACAGCAGTTTAAAAATAAGTAATATTTCAAAATACTTTTTTAAAAACACGCTTTAATGAAATGTACCGTACTCGTAATGGCAGAACTCCATGACTCCAGGAAGTGGCCGCAAAGCTTGCCATAACGTAAGGGGCCGTGGTGATTTACAGCCAACGTGAGTTGACCGTGGACAATTAGACCCAAGGTGAAACATAACATGTATAAAAGATGGTTTAAAAATATTTTTTTTATTTTTAATGATAGAATATAGTATTGTCATCAGTATGACATAAGTCTACCAAGTTTGCAGTCGATACCACATTGGGAAGTGGGTTAAAATTGAGGATACGACGACAACAACAACAGACAGAGTGAGTTAAATAAAAGCGTGTAATAACAATAACAAGCTGTTCTTGTCTAAACTTCAACGAAGTGCCAATTTGATGCATTCACTCGGGCACAAACGTACACTTGGACTGCCGCGCTTGAGTTTTAAGTGGAGGGCCGAGCGTGTGACGAGCTTGTGGCGAGAGTGAACGGAGGGCGTTGACGCCGCGTGCGTGCGTCTGCGTGCGTTTGTGCCGTCGTGTGCGCGTGCAGGTGTTTGCGTTTGACCACTGCTTCTGGTCCATGGATGAGCGCAACAAAGGCAAATACGCAGGTGGGAGCCTCGGGTGGCCAGGCCCCCCCCCACCCACCCCGGGGGTCACGACGGGCATCCTCCACTCACTGCGCTAGCACTTACGTGATTCGATTACGTTTTTTTTTATCTTGTACAATAAATTGTTTGCTTACACGTTACGTTAGCATTTCGCACTTATACGATTTGTGTAATGCGCACGTAATTCTCGCACGCACGATACGCCGCTCGGTGTCGGCGGCGAAAAAAAAATAGATTTTTGGATGAATGACTCGATCCATCGTTACGCTTGCCCAGTGCCTAGGGACCGGCACTGTAGTGTAACCAGAGCTTAACTTCAGCCACATCCATTCGGGGTCAGCGACCTAGAAAAAAAATGCGCGTGCCCGGCACACCGCATCCATCGTAGCACTCGCGAGGGCTGCGGCTACTAGTCCGCATACCACCTGCTCCAGTCTCCCGGCGACCTGGAAAGTATTCGACGTTCTGTATTGAAGAGGAATGTTAGCCGTGCGCAGCAGGAGGCTGCCCTCCTCGCGGTGTTCCATCCTGGGAAGGGGTGGTGGTGGGGGGTCGGCGAGAGGAGCGGACCCCTCGGTTCGTTGTGCCGCACAAGTGGGGCGCAGGTGTCGGGAGAGAGGTTACACCAATTCCCAGTGAGCCCTCGGTGCCTGTGTGAGATTTATTGGGCCCTGGGGTCGGAGCCCTTTATGTTGTTTTAGATGCGGTCGCAGCAGTTGACATCCCCCACTGTGAAAAACTGACCCCGTCCGTAATCGGAATACAATATATTATTTAGAGCCCTGGGTACAAATACTATTACGGCAATATGACTCCCCCGTCCCCCTCCCTCCCACTTGCACCCCCCCCCCCACCCCCGTCTCCGTCAGTTGAATACAATATAGGGTTCGGGTGTCTGCCCAAGGTTTCTTACAACCTTGTTCAAATTGGCTTTTGGCTGTATTAAGGTACCAGACTAAATAGGCGATCTCCCTGCAGCACAATTACAGCTATGACTGGCCCAAACTGGCTGTGGGAGAGTGAAGGGGGTTAAACTATCACACAGTGGGGTTGGGGGGGTTAAAGTGATATATAGTATACAGATCCCGGAGTCCAAACTCAACGGGGGTCAAGACTACCATCCCAGCGTTGTCTGTTTACGTTGGAAGTTTGACGAGCTGACTCGGATGCCTCGAGCCTTTGGGGCTCATTGGAAAAAAAAAACAATAATGATAACAAACACACAACATGTCATGCATTGTCCGATCGAGAACTCGGGGGGCGCGGAGCGAGAGCTCAACGCTCGCACGCCGGCCGAGAGGGTTTGTGTTGTGAGGTTTGCGGACCATGGCCTCGCGTGCCGGGCGGAGGCAGTAGTGCAGCCTCTGTTCGTCAAACGTCAACCACGTGCGTCTGTGTGCGTGTGTGGGGAGCGGTAGTGCGGCAGTCAGCACGCTGCGCTATTAGCCCGGCGACCCGAGTTCGATTCCCGCTCACGGCCAACATTGGTCACGAATATCTTAACCGGTCCTGGGCCTCCCCAGGGTCGACTCAACCTCAAATGCGTACCTGGTGTGGTGTGTAAACATCGCCACTAGGGAGACAAAGTTGGCCGGGCGTGGTGCTGGTCATCCACTCCCTCGTGTGCCGTACCGGCCTTCATAGGTGCTCGCGTAAGGCACTTGCCTCATAAGTCTGTTCAGGCTATAAGGGGGATCTTTGTCTTTGAGTGTGTGCAGCTGTGCGCTAGAGTTCCTTTGACCAAATTGCTCGGAATGCCCTTGGTCTCGTCAGGTCTCGGAAGCTAAGCTGTACGTGAGCTTGGATAGACTTGGGTGGGTGACCTCCGTTCACCGGCAGGTTGACTTAGAGTGTGCAGCGCTTTGTTGCAGGCAGCAGGGGCCAGGTACAGCAACATCCATTGCTGTACCGTGCTTCTTCGATCCTTCGCCTGTGCTCCCCACCTTCACAAACGCGCACAGCCCAGCGTGATGGAGTTGGGTCAATTAACCGCCACGCCCTCATCCAGCAGTGGATGGGCAATCATTGGGGCTGTGCGTGTGAATTCCTTGTTGCATTGGAGCGGTGCAGCCGTGGTGGAAGTGGTGGTTGTTGATTTGGTTGTGCTCCGTGTGGTGTGAATCCGGCATCAGGACAAGAGGTCGTGTTCCACGCTCTGGGTGATGGGATCCTTGACAACGCCTTCCAGGGATACAACGCGTGCATATTCGCCTATGGGCAAACTGGTAAAGCACACCTTGCGCGTGGAACACCACACACTTTGTGCGTCTTAACGCCTTGCACTGTGCCGAAAACCACATGCCTTGTGCCCAACGCCACACGCGCCTTGTATCTCAAACCTTGCACCACACATCACAGCAACAGCAACAGCCATAAGTCATTCGCTACAGCGCTTGTGCCAGGCTAGGTGCTCTTGGAGGACAAGTGGCATGTCGACGGCTCGCCGCCGACAGGTCACGGCGCCGAGCCCGGTGTCATCGGTTAGCTGAGAGAAATGAGTGGCAGATGGCACCACGTGTGTTCCCCACTATGGCGTCGCAACATCACTCGCCTTCCATCGCGCACTTAGAACGTCACGCCTCGCACCTGTCATCACACCCCACACACCACCCCTGACACTTGACACCACACACCTTACTCGCTTACCTGCGCACTACCCGTCTGAGCTACGCCAGTCCTAAAAACAGGAACCATTTCAATTTGTAAGGCGCCTTCAATACAATCGCATCTCAGTACGCAATGGCAAACGTAAACAAAAACTGCACTCAAGTAGATGGGGAGGAGGGTTAGGGGTGAGGGTGGTCAGGGCAGGGAGTTTGCGATGTCTCTCTCCCCGTGGTCACGTGGATCTTTCTCCAGGTCCTCCGGTTTTTCCCTGCTCATTTAGAATCGTGCATTTTGAGTATTCGGCTGCTAGACATTCCACGTGATAAGCCACTTCGTTGAGCTGTCATTTGTGGCCAGAGCTGTATAGCTCAGTGGGCCTTAGTAGTAGGGTGACACAGGTGAGATAACATTGACTCTGCGGCACAGCCTGGGACAGAGCAACGGGGCCCGGCACCACCACCAACAAGCACAACAACGAGCCGCAGGAACAAGCCTGGGCAGCACCGGCAAATCCCAAGAGACGTTCACAGTTGGGGTGGCGGGCCCACGGCCCAGTCACCAACGACTCTCAGGGCACGACAGTGCCGGGGCCGCTGTGGTCACTCAAGGCCGGCGATCCCGGGGAGGCTCCGGAGGCGGCTTCGGAGTGTCGGCATTGATGGCTGCGTTGCGCTCGTGCCCAGGCTCGGGGAAGTCCTACTCCATGATGGGGTCGGCCGAGCAGCCGGGGCTGACGCCGCGGCTGTGCGGGGCGCTGTTCGAGCGCGTGTCCCGGCTGTCACGCGACGACCACTCCTTCAAGGTGGAGGTGTCCTACATGGAGATCTACAACGAGAAGGTCCGCGACCTGCTCGACCCCAAGGGGTAAGGCCCCCTTCTCTCTTTAACTCCTGTAGATTCTACCCACCGCGCCGTCCGTCCCAGGGAGGGATTTTTCCTCGGCAAGTGTCCGCTCTTGGTGCAGCCAGATAGGTCGAAGGTCAGCGCTGAGCCGGTACCCGCTGAGATCCTGGGTTCATAACAAAGGTTTATCAGTCCTCTGTTATTAAACTGAGTTCTCAAGTCCAGCGAGTTCATGGTCTCAGCTCGGTCACCCATGACCTGCATGGATACCCATAGATTCGCATAGAGACCAACAGAATCGCATAGACCAAGCTGTGATTAAACCGGGTTCTTGAGCGCAGTGAGTTCATGGACTCGGCACAAAAAAGCAATCGCATTACATTTAATTCTGCGCGTAATTTCTCTCAATTTCAGCTCTGAGAATAAAAATGATTAACATTACAGTCTGTAACAGGGCGGGTAAGAAACTGCTGCCCCGTACTGTGTGGACCAGACGGCATTTCACTTGCAAGGATCTCAGCGGTAGCTCCGTGGTGTCCGTGTCCACGGGCCGTTTCTGTGGCACGAAGGGTCACGCCGCTCCGCGAGAGTTCCGGATGGATTCTTCGCGTCACGACCGCGACGGACGATCGCGCAAGTTCGGGATACAATTGGTGGAAAAGTTGCGGCGAAATTTGTTTTATTTCAAATCGTCTTCGTCTGAAAGTCAACTGGGTTTGCCGCCGTGAGGATGAATCGTCACGGCCGGAGGTGAACGCCCCTGATGCCGCGCACGCGCGCGTGTGTGTCTGCTGCTTCTTGTGGCAAACCTGCAGCGGCCGCCAATCCCTGAAGGTGCGCGAGCACAAGCTGCTGGGCCCCTACGTGGACGGCCTGTCGCAGCTCGCCGTGCGCACCTTCCAGGTGAGCTCCTCCAGCTGCACCGCCGCCCTGAGCCCCGTGCAGCCCGACCTACAAGCTGGCTCCTCCAGCAGCTTAACCCGATCCTGTTCTACGTACGTGTACATCATCAGTTTTCTCTTCCGACTCCGTTCCAGTGACGTTACACATCAATAACTTTTAGCAGTACCGAGGCTCCCACAAGGCCGTGTGGGAGGGCGCGTAGCACAGTTTGGCGTCGGCTATCATAGAGTGCGGTCGTGCCGCTTCGGTTCTCTGCGGTGAGTACGGCGTCTTTAAAACCAACGGCGCTATGCCTGCTTAAATAGAATTAGCGCTCAGAACGGGAGAGGGTTAACAGCTTAGTCCACAACCCTGGCATTTCAAAGCCCGTCTCTGCCTGTCCGGGGCTTCCACTGAACCCAACCACTAACTGGTTGCCCTCCCCCTAACGCTCACTGCAAACCCGGCACCAATCCTTATCCAGCACTGGGGTCCAGCGCTAACGGGATGAGAGTTGGGGGGGCCTTGGTGCTGTGCCCCCCCCCCATCCCACTGGCATCATTAGTCACCCTTCACCCCCCCCCCCCAACCTTCACCTCCCGATCCGAGCTGGGTGGGGCTCACGCTATTAGGTGTAAATTGGTTGTCACTTTTAATGTCAGCGGTGACGGCTCGCGGTGTGAACTTTGCCAGGAGTGTGCGGTTAGCTAAGTGATGCGGGCGTCGCTCGCTCTGTGGCTGCCACGGGCACCGGCGTGGTGGGCAGAGTGGCTGTTGTGTGACGGAGCTCTCTGGAGTGGAGCTGTGAGTTGGGTGGAGCTGAGTGGAGAGTGGAGCTCACTGGAGTGAGTGGAGCTGTGTAGAGGGTGGAGTTGTATGTGGAGTGGAGCTGTGAGTTGGATGGAGCTGAGTGGAGAGTGGGGCTCACTAGAGTGAGTGGAGCTGTGTAGAGGGTGGAGTTGGGTGGTGCTGTGAGTTTGGTGGAGCTGTGTGGAGAGTGGAGCTGTGTGCAGCTGAGTCGAGTGGAGCTGGGTGGAGCGGTTGTAGTGAACTTTCCTGCTTCCTGCCCGGAACTACGTCTCACAGGAGCTGACCCCACACAGAGCTGCGACTGCCAAATGGACACAGAGGCTCCTCACCCCACAGATATCACTCACTCTGCCCAGATATCAAACATTCACAGCCACACACCGCCACTCATCGCCAGAGTTCTCATCGCTACAGGCATTCACATACCCCGATATCACCCACACGCATCCAAATATCACAGACACACTCACCTCTAGCTATAGATATTCAAGACAAAGATCCCCCCTATCGCCTTAACAGACTGTTGGGACGATCGCTGTTAGCGAGCAGCACCTATGAAGGCCAGCACGGTACACGAGGGTGTGCGTGGCCAGCACTACGCCCAGCTGCCTTTGTCTCCCTCGTGGGGAAGTTTACACACCACACCAGGTACTAATTTTGAGGCTGAGTCGACCTAGGGTAGGCCCAGGACCAGTTCATATAATCGTCACCGGTGTGGGGAATCGAACTCGGGGTCGCCGGGTTTGTAGCGCAGCGCGCTAATCGCTGCACCACCGCTCCTCATCAGACACAGTCATGATATGACATAACGTTACCACTCCCTGTCTCAGTTGACGTACAGTGCTGGGTTAGTCGGTGTGTTACACGGGGGCCGTGGAAACACGGCCTGTGTTTTTGTCAGAGCCGCTCTCACCCCATGGAAAGTTGGCAGTCGGTGCGAGTACATGTGAGCGTTCTGGGGGGGGGGTGGGGGGGGGGGTCTGTGAGAGAGAGCGTGTGAGTGTCAGTGTGCTCGCTGCCGCGTTAGGTCACGGTGGAATGTGTTCACGCTGCAGCGCCGGCATTCCTGGAATGGGGTGGCCACTCCCACAAGCCACCGGGCGATGCGCATGCCGCTCGCTTGCATGCAACCTGCCAAACTCCGCCACGGGTCGCTTTGTCTCCGCCGTGACGCCGGACGTTGGGCACGACCTTTACGTGCGCGCGCCGTCGGGGGCGCTCCCGGCCGTGGCGTCCGTGTGCCCCCACGTGCCATCGTTCATGGCCACACCCACGTGACTGGGATATGAGATTATTACTGAAGTGATCGTTGATAACTCTGCTGCCGGTTATTATCGGTTCGAACGCTCGACCGAACGTAAAGATAATTGGTGGTGGGGGGGAGGGGCAGTGGGGTGGGGTGGGGGAAAACGGTCTCAGCTGTGTTCCTACCCGTGTGCCGCTGGACGGGAGGTGATGAGCATGGCTTGGTGACGTCGTGGGCATCGTCAGCCGCGTCACGCTGGGCCTGACCTCTTGTTCAGGGGTTTCCTGTTGTCGGAAGCCAGAAAGTGGGGGGCGGCTGCTTTGTTTGAAAGGCTGCAGAGTGATCCACTACAAAAATAGTTCATTACAATTCCGTAGCCACTTCATTGACTTGACTCATCGTCGCAGCTGTACAAAACTTCTACACTATGGGGACCTCATTTGCCAGTAAAAATATGATAATTGGTTTTTTACCCTTCTATCTGGCAACAAAACTGACACCTTTTTGCAAGGAGTCATGTTTGCATAGACCGCAATACCTGCAGTCATAATACAAACAAAAGAACATAACTCTGATAGTGCACATTATCAGAGTTATGTTCTTTTGTTTGTATTATGACTGCAGGTATTGCGGTCTATGCAAACATGACTCCTTGCAAAAAGGTGTCAGTTTTGTTGCCAGATAGAAGGGTAAAAAACCAATTATCTTATTGTACAAAACTTGCTCAAAATTTCACCCGGGGCACCTTGGATCTCAGAAGCTAAGCAGGCGGGAGCCTGGCTAGCGCTTGGAATGGGTTACCAGCAGAGAGCTTGCCAGTGGTATACAGGGGTGGAGGGGGAGAGTGGTGGGGGGGAGGGTGGTGGGCGGGGTGTATAAGGTTGCCACCAGGAGGTGGCAGTGCTGAGCGCCCCCCCCCCCCCGTCCCACCCCCCACGTATGCCTGGGTTTTCTCCGGGTGCTCTCCCGTTTACTGCCACGCGAATTGGTGAAAAGATCCCCAATGCAGCGGGGGCACTCCGTGACAACGCTAAAACGTCTCGAGGCTCTGTGAAGCTTTCCCTGAGTAAACAGTCGGGCACAATTAGTGTCACTGCACATGGGCACCTGGCAGCAGTGAGTCTGAAATGAGCAGAATTGTTTGTCGTGGGGTATATTTGTGCTGGGTGATTGCGAGCCTGTTTGTGCGAAGGCCTTGACTTTTTCGCCGCTGCTGCACCGCCCCTGTAAAGAGGTTGAACACACAACGGGGCGTTTGCCGTCGAACGACGCTGGCCGCAGTCAGACGGGGGTCGACTGCACGTGGTGTGGAGGGCGACTGCCCGTGCTGTGGACTTTGTAGCGCGAGGCTTGCCGGGAGCGCCGACCGTCACGCTGCCTCCTTGGGGAAATCGTAGGCAGAAGGGCAAGAAGAAGACGACAAAGATGGCTGTGGTGGTGAAGTGTCGTAGCGTGGTGGTGTGTGTGCGCGCAATATTGGTTTGGTGGTTTGGTGCGGTGTGCACTTGTGGTGTGCAGTATTGTGGCAGTGTGGTGTGGCGGTGTGTGACGGTGTGTTGTATTGTGCTGATGGTGTGGAGCAGTGGTTCGGTGGTGGAGTGTGCGTAGCGGTGGTGTGGTGATGTATGATGGTGTTGTGGTGGTGCGTAGCAATGTGGCGGTGCGTGGTATGGTGTGTGTAGTAGTGAGATGGTGGTGTGTGTGGTAGTCTCGTAGTGTGGTAGCGTTGGTGGTGGGCAGCGGTGGTGTAGCGGTTAGCGCGCTGCGCTACGAACCCGGTGACCAGAGTTCGTTTCCCGCTCACGGCCAACACCGGTGATGATTATTTGAACCATTCCTTCACCTCCCCTTGGTTGACTCACCCTCAAATGAGAACCTGGTGCGCTGTGTAAACATTAGCACTGAGGGAGACAAAGGCATCCGGGCGTGGTTCTGACCACCCACCCCCTCGTGTGCAGCGCCGGCCTTCTTTGGTGGTTGTGAGCCGTGCATCGTCTCTGTCACCAGGACATCGACTCGCTGATGTCGGAGGGGAACAAGTCGAGGACGGTGGCGGCGACGAACATGAACGAGGAGAGCAGCCGCTCGCACGCCGTGTTCACCATCACGCTCACCCAGACGCTCACCGACCTCGCCTCGGGGGTGAGCACGCACACACTGGCTCGCACTGGCACGCACGCACTTACCGGCTCGCACGCGCACACACATACCTTGCTTAATTCACGACACGTGTTAGGGCTCTTATCTATTTCAACTTTGATAATAGTGCTGTTTGGTACTGTCCACATGCCCGTCCGGCTCGGAAAATTTGTGAAAATATACACAAACGCATCGCCATGCACAAACAGGCGGGCAAAGACGCACATGCCCTGGCATGCACGCACATGCACGCACGCGCGCACAGGCACGCACGCACGCCGTCGATTTGCTCACACTTGCATTGGCATGTTGCACATAGGCACACGCGCAGTGGCACACACTCTCAGGCATGCACGCACAGGCACATGTGCACTGACACATACCCACAGGCACATGTGCACTAGCACATACCCACTGGCGCACGCGGACACACTGGCACACGAACACAAGACCACGAACGCACTGGCGTTCATGCACCAACACGTGTACACAAACTACACGAAGACAAAAGACAAAGATCCCCCGCATAGCCTTAACAAACTGTTGGGGCAAGCACTGTTTGGGAGCACCTATGAAGGCCGGCACGGCGCACGAGGGGGTGGGTGGCAAATACCACGCCCGGCCGCCTTTGTCTCCCCGGTGCCAATGTTTACATATGCCACAAGGCACTCATTTAAGCCCAAGTTGACTTAGGAGAGGCCCAAATATTCACCACTGCACACACACACAGGCACACGCATGCACTGGCAAGCACACACAATACCTCGTTATTTCCATGGAAAGCCAACTCATCCCAATTATAGCTTTTGATGTTTTGTGTTTTGCTTTGTGTTTGTTATTGTGTAGAGGTGTTACATTTCACATACACACAGTCTGCATTACATTTCACACACACACACACAGCATTCGTTACATTTCACACACACACATTTTACACACACACAGCCTGCTGTAGTTTTACGCCGTTGTTGTGTACTCTCACTTGAGTCATTTGCAGATAACGGTTCACAATGGCCTGCTCCTTTCAAATGACATCACGGGATATTTAGCATCCACCGCAAAGCAGACAGCGCTGAATATTTTACACTAAAATAACAGCGGCGGTATTAACCAGGGCGGCCTGTTGGGATTCCAACCACGAGCTTTCCCGACGGGCGGCGTGCGCTACCGCTGGCCCGCGTCCCCGGCCCCACCTGCGGGAGCAGACCTTTGACAGTCACGTGGCTGCGCGTACGTGTGTGCGCGTACGCGTGTTTCCTCCCCCCTCCGTCACACCCCCACCGCCGTGACCCCCTAAGACGTCGGGTGAGAAGGTGAGCCGGCTGAGCCTGGTGGACTTGGCCGGGAGCGAGCGAGCCTCCAAGACGGGGGCGGCCGGCGACCGTCTCAAAGAGGGCAGCAACATCAACAAGTGCGGGCAACGGACGCCGTCACCTATGCACACGCACAGAGACCAATATCCCCGCTTTCACGACCAATACTATTCACAAAGTAGTAACTAATTGGGCTGAAGTAGTAAACTAATTGGCGCGTTGTTTACTTGACGAACCTTACTGGCTGTGTCGGGTGGTGGAGGGTTACGACGCATTTATACTTACGCGATCTAACCCAAAAACCTTTATGATGGTGAGGCAAGTGCTGTTAGTGACTACCCACGAAGGCTAGCACGGCAAAAAGAGAGGGGTGGCTGACCAGCACCACGAGTGGCATAGTTTGCGCATCGCATCGGGAACTCATTTGAAGCTGAGGCGACCTAGGAAAGTACCAGGAACCTGAACCAGGACCGGTTCAGATAATCTTCACTCGTGTTGGTGGTGACAGTGAGCGGGAAGCGGGCTCGGGTTGCCGGGTTAGTCGCACAGTTCGCTAATCGTTGCACCACCGCTCCCCACAACATGTGCCCATGCAACACAATAACCCAAGACCACTGAGGAAAAATAATAAAACCAAGATAAATTTCGAACAACCTGTGAATAAATAATGGAATTTATTTTAGTATAATTATTTTCAGTCCTTTGTCAATCCGCGAATGGATGAAGGCCGTGTAATTCATGGGGCTTTTTTTACCACACTTCACCACGCTGGTAAGTGTGAATTACTCAAGGGGGTTGGCAAAGATCATTCGTCACTGACATTAGCCTGGGCTTAGAATCGAACTCAGGTCGCCGGGTTCACAGCACGATGCCCGAACCACTCTTCCACTGTTCCCCTATTATTTACAACACGTACAATAAAACCTATATATTGTAATATTTCATGTATATCAAACGGGTTATTATCTTCTATTCCACAATGAACCATTCAATTTCAACTCCACAGCTTCCATAGTCCCCAACACTGACAATTGCGGCTCATCACAGCTCCGCACGGCCCCCCAAACCAAAACCCGTCCCGCATGTCACGCGAGGCTCCGACAGGGCCCCGGGCCGGGCCTGCGGCTCACGCCGGCGCCTCTTCACGTCTTGCCGTCTCCAGGTCCTTGTCCACGTTGGGCCTGGTCATCTCAGCCCTGGCCGATCAGGCAGCCGGGAAGAACAAGAACAAGTTCGTGCCGTACCGCGATTCGGCACTCACCTGGCTACTCAAGGTGCGTGGGCGTGAGTGAGGGGCGTGAATCGGTCGAGGGATTCTCTCCGATGTCGGCCCGGCCTTCAGTGGGTTTGATCCCGACCCTGACGCCTGCTGTGTATTTGGAGTTTGCGTGTCTCTCTCTCTCTCTCGCTCCCCGTGGTTGCGTGGATTTTTCTCTGGGGCCTCCGGTTTTTCCCTCCACATTTTTAGAATGAACATGCTTTTAGAATGTTTGGCTGCTATAAATTTCTACTTGATAAGCCACTTCGTTCTGAAAAAAAAGTGGGATGAAATGTCTGTGTATCAAATGTCGCAATGCTTCGGATGCGATTTTGGACTGAGGCCAAATGGACCAAAACATGTTTTCTACCATTTTCTTTATTTATTTAAATGGAATTGACAGCTGATTAAAAATGAAAGGAAATTAATTGGTTGCCAGAATACAAATTTTTGTAAATTGTTATTATTTTAAATAGCCAATTTAGTAGGGGAGAGCGGAATTAGTTGTAGCATTTGCGTTAAAATACGTGTCTTATATATGGTGAGACATTGTCATTTTACTTTACGTTTTAGTCCCATTGTAATTAACTTAATTCAGACTAGAACGTAATTTCTGGTCTTTTGCATACAGTAAGCTTTCGTAATGTTGAAGTCGAGCAAATTGATGGAAGTGGCATTAGCCTCTGTGTTTATGCAAATACAATATCAGATTTACAGGGGAGAACGTGCGAACGTCAAGGATGACTGTCGAGATGTATAAGGGCTCGAGGTGACCAATAGGGTCTGAATTGGCCTGTAATAAGGTCGGGCACTGATCAGGGGATGACAGCTTTGTGTGTGGTCGCGTTTTTGGAGTGCGTTGTGCCGTCGCGGTTAGAGGTGTACGCGGTGCGGTTGCGGTGCTGTTGCGTTGAGGTTGCGTTGAGGTTGCGTTGAGGTTGCGCGCCGCGTGGTTGCGCTCGGGCTGTGTGCATCGCGCCTCCCTCGCTCGCCAGGACAACCTGGGCGGGAACAGCCGCACGGCGATGGTGGCCACGGTGAGCCCCGCCGCGGACAACTACGAGGAGACGCTGTCGACGCTGCGCTACGCCGACCGCGCCAAGCGCATCGTGAACCACGCCGTCGTCAACGAGGACCCCAACGCACGCATCATCCGCGAGCTGCGCGACGAGGTGGACAAGCTGAGGAGCCAGCTCAACCAGGCCGAGGTGACTCGGGGGAGTGGGGTGCGGGCGGGAGTGGGGGGTGGTAATCTCTATTTGTAAATGAAGGCCCTGACAGGTCCAAAGACCTGACCGGCCTAAAAACGTCAAGCGGCTTAAACACCAAGTGGCCAGGGCAGACGGATCTGGAAGCTTGCTAAGGGGGGCGGGTGGTCCTGAAACGTAAAGCTTATTTAAACAGGGCCCTACATAAAAAAAACATAACATTCATGGTTTTTTTTCTCTGGTGAATAATTTGTAATGACGTAGTTTCTTACTTTCATGGAAAAATTCTGAAAACAATATCGATCGGCAAATATCGATAAAATAAAACAGTTTCGGGATCTCAAGGAGTGGGGTGGGCATCGCCCACATTGCCCCCCCCCAACCCCCCTTTGGATCCGCTACTGGCGGCCAGCAACAAACAGCACAATGGAACGTATAATAAATGCATGTCTAAATAAGACCTCCGTTCTGTCTTAGTACAAATCAAATATTTTTTAGTTATCGGCCTATTCATTTTACACACCGGCATTATCGGCCGATGACTTAAAACACTTTATATTTGTGTGGTCACGTGTGTGCCACGTGTGTCTGTGGTGTGTGCGCGTGCGTACGCGCCGTGTGCACACCACATGGTGTGCTGCGTGTCCCGTGCCGTGCCAGCTGGCGTGTACAGAGCAGCACAGCAGTGCCAGCCTGCGCCATGCCATATGTAAATACGCCCTACGTAGGCTCTTCATGCTGCCATAGGAGTGGGGCCAATGCTTTCCTCCATAAGGGCCGAATTATCATTTGAGCAGCGGCAGCAGCCGTAGTTTATCCACTGCCGAATGAAGGATTTTCTACACAGTCATCCGTCGCAGTGACTGCGTTGCCACCAATTAATAGTATAACACAAGACAAAGATCACCCGTAGGCCTTGTACAGATTGTTGGGGGCAAGCACGCACACTCACACCGGTACACCACCCACACACGTAGATACTGGCACATCAAACAACGACACACAATGACACAACAAAGACAAAGATCCCCCGTATAGCCTTAACAGACTTTTGGACGAGTGCCGTAAGCGAGCACCTGTGAAGGCCAACACGGCACACGAGGGTGTGGGTGGTCAACCACGCGCCCGGCTGCCACTGCCTCCCCAGTGCTGATATTTACACACTGCACCAGGTACTCGTTGAGGGCTGAGTCGACCTAAGGGTGGCCCAGGACCGGTTCAGATATTCACGACTGTCATTGGTCGTGAGCGGGAATCAAATTGGGGTCGACGGGTTCGTAGAGCAGCACGCTGACCAACTGTTATTACACATTTAAAACAAACGCTGTATTTAGCACATTCACACACAGTCACTCAAGATGTGTCATGTGTGTCCCCCTGACCCACAATCCCCTCTCACCGCCACCGCCGTGGCTGCTTTGCGCAATCCCCTGGCTGTGGCGTCGGGGCCCAGTCTCTGATGGCCCCCGAGCTGCAGGAGCGGCTGCAGCAGAGCGAGAAGCTGATCCAGGAGATGACGCTCACCTGGGAGCAGAAACTCCGCAAGACCGAGGAGATCGCGCAGGTGAGGTTCTCCCGCCACCCCCCCCCCCCCCCCCACTCGCTGCTCCCCGACGTCCGCACGTCACTTGCTCCCTTATACACTTTTAAATCGAAATTAAAAACGAACTTCTTTAGAACTGCTTTTTGTGTTTAGTTTGTTGTCCTTCCCTTGTACCTCCGATTAGCACGATTGGCTAACGTACTGTGCGAAAGAAGTTCAACGTAGGCATTCAAACTCCTACCACTCCCCCTCGCTCACATCCATCCCACCCGTCTAACCCTTCCTCACCCCCTCGCTCCCTTCAGGATCAGAATCTTTATTTGGACTGGAGGAATCCGATGAGCTAGGAAGCTCTTTGCCGCAGATGTCCAGTAGGGACGGGGCATCAAGTTCCTCACTCCCTCGCTCCCTCATCCCCTATCTAACTCTCCATCCCTCCCTCCTTCCCACTATTCTTTCTTTCCTTGTCTCGCCCTCTCCTTCCCTCCTCCCTAACGTAACTCCTTCGGTGACAGCGGCACCCTGCACGCTATGCGGACGTGCTGTAAATTATCTTAATGTACAGTTTCTGGCGCAAGGTACATATCCACCAATAAACATTTAACTGGAATCGTACAACGCACGCGTGGCCTTGATCCCAGAGTTTATTCTTGAAATGTCACAGGGTTGCTGTCCGGAACATTACATTCATAAATTCTCATCGGTCATTAGCTACGCATGGCGCGTACGAACGGGAGCGATCGTGCTCAGGCCGGTGAGTGATTCCGTCCCGTTTTGCCGCGTGGCCCCGGCGGAATGGGGGGCGGTAGGAGAGGCAGAAGCAGCTGGAGAGCATGGGCATCTCGCTGGAGTCGTCCGGCATCAAGGTGGGCGAGGACAAGAGCTTCCTCGTGAACCTCAACGCCGACCCGGCCCTGAACGAGCTGCTCGTCTACTACCTGAAGGTCAGCGCCCCCCCCCCCCACCACCCCCACTACCACCCCTACCACCCCCCCTACCACCCCTACCACCCCCCCTACCACCCCCCCTACCCCCCCTACCACCCCCCCTACCACCCCCCTACCCCCACCACCTCTTTACCCCTCCCCACTTCTTGCCACATGAAGCACACAGCCCGACCGTGAGATGGGTGGTGTGCGATTATGTGACGAGTGAGTGACAAATGAGTGGTGAGCGAGCGGCGAGTGACGTGCAGTGAGTTACGAGGGGTGAGCGGTGGCCGTGCTGGAGGAGTGATGAGGGGTGAGCAGAGTCCGTGTTGGAGGAGTGATGAGGGGTGAGCAGTGGGTTACGAGGGGTGAGCGGTGTCCGTGCTGGAGGAGTGATGAGGGTTGAGGAGTGGGTTACGAGGGGTGAGCGGTGTCCGTGCTGGAGGAGTGATGAGGGTTGAGCAGTGGGTTACGAGGGGTGAGCGGTGTCCGTGCTGGAGGAGTGATGAGGGTTGAGCAGTGGGTTACGAGAGGTGAGCGGTGGCCGTGCTGTAGGAGTGATGAGGGGTGAGCTGTAGGAGTGATGAGGGTCGAGCAGTGGGTTACGAGGGGTGAGCGGTGGCCGTGCTGGAGGAGTGATGAGGGTTGAGCAGTGAGTTGTTATGAGTGGCGAGCGGTGAGGGCCGGGGTGACGTGACGAGCGACGCGTCTGCCATAGGAGCGCACGGCCGTCGGCGCCGCCGACTCGCAGGACGTGCAGCTGTGCGGCATCGGCATCCTGCCCGAGCACTGCACCATCACCATGGCGCCCGACGGCGACATCACCCTCCAGCCGTTCCAGGGGGCACGGTAACTCACGGCACGCCACCTCTCCTCGCGCCGCCCCTCGCGAGCCGCGTCGCACGACCACTCTGCGTCACGCGGTCGGCCCTGTCCCCTGCAATGACGCCGCCTCGCAGTGACCCCCATCGACGCTGGGCTGACCTCTGCCCCCTGTACTCCGTAACTGGGCCTTGGCTCGGTGCACGAACTTCGGCACCGCCGGGCATGGTGCTGGCCACACTGGCCCCTCGTGCGGTGTGCCGACCTCAAAAGACGCTCACTATCCGCCCTTGCCCCCAACGGTTCACTGAAGGCTACATGGTGATCTTTATGTCTTTTGTGTGCGTGGGCCGCGCAGCACGTGCGTGAACGGGGCGGTTGTGACGAGCGCGACGCCGCTGTGGCACGGAGACCGCATCCTTTGGGGGAACAACCACTTCTTCAGGTGACACGGTCGCACACACACCCTCATGCTCTCGCCTGGCGACACGGCAAGCGCGGTGGGGGGGGGGGCGAGCGCACACCGAGACGGAGCACGGCACCCCAACACAGCCCAGGCGTCTCCTGGCCCCAAGCCTCCAAGCGAGCGACCTCCCTCTCGTGGCCTGGCGATCCGCTGTGGACGGAGGCGGTGGGGGGCGGGGGAGGGGATTGTGGAAAGTTTAAGGAATCTCGCAATGCTGACCAGTACACCGCGGCAGCATCCCAGATGACATTTAATTATTATTTGTGGTTAAAAATGTGCAATTTCAAAACATACTCTTTAGTTCTTTCGGTAAAGTCACGTAGGTATAAAATAAACATACATTAAAAATAAAACAGAATAAAAATAAATCAAATCACGACGTTTCGGAAGCACCACAAACCTCCGTCATCAGGTGGGACAGTCACAGCAAGAAATAATTTTCTGTAGTAAAATAAATCGTTTCGGGCCACCCGGCCTCGCGGGGGCGGAGGGTGACTTGCGCGGCGGTACCGTGTGCCCCCCCCCCCACACCCACCACCACCACCCGCACCTACCGCACTTGTCGGCGCAGAATAAACCTTCCCGGGCACAAGCGGCGGACGCGCGCGCGGGACGGCGGGGGGGCGGACGCGCCGGAGGCGTCCGACTGGGAGAGCGGCAGCGTGGGCGGCTCCCCGGGCAGCGAGGTCTCCTCCGAGTACGACTGCAGCTTCGAGTTCGCGCGGACCGAGGTCATGATGAAGGCGCTCGGCAACGACGGTGCGTGCGTCGGTGTGCGTGCGTCGGTGTGCGTGCGTCGGTGTGCGTGCTTCGGTGTGCGTGCGTCGGTGTGCGTGAGTCGGTGTGCGTGAGTCGGTGTGCGTGAGTCGGTGTGCGTGAGTCGGTGTGCGTGAGTCGGTGTGCGTGAGTCGGTGTGCGTGAGTCGGTGTGCGTGAGTCGGTGTGCGTGAGTCGGTGTGCGTGAGTCGGTGTGCGTGAGTCGGTGTGCGTGAGTCGGTGTGCGTGAGTCGGTGTGCGTGAGTCGGTGTGCGTGAGTCGGTGTGCGTGAGTCGGTGTGCGTGAGTCGGTGTGCGTGCGCTGCTCGCTCGCCATCTGGCGGCCGACCAGTTGACGCGTCGGTGTGTTTTTCTTTCCCCGTGGCCGACGTCACTATTTTGTTTGTGTGTTTTTTAGGTCGCGTAATAACGTGGCCAATTTTGGTTGTCGTGTAACCCTCCGCCACCCGGCACGGCCACGTTGTATTGGAGCGGTTTAACGACGCGCCGATTATAATTATGTTATTGTTTCGGCTCGCCTGGTTTCATGACCTGTGGATGCTTAATGCAGTTTCAAGCGATTCGTCGTGTACAATTTATAAATCTGATCGCGAGATTGTTGTTCAACTTGCCGGTGTCAGCCTAAACAACTTTAATAATTGGCGCGTCGTTATGCGCGTACGCGTGATCGTCTAATTTGTTTGGCTGTGTATGGAGGCTCCCGGAGAGCAGAGCCAGCCTCCTGGATCATTCATAACACGTTGAGATCACTCCCTGCTTTGTAAATCAGGGAAAATTAAGTTGCTTGAGTCCATTGACGCACGATACATTGTAATCGAGCGCTCCATGTCGCGATCGCCAGACCCCGTCGCCAGCCTGCTGGGCTCGCTGGAGAGGCAGCACGAGCAGGAGAAGCGCTCGGCCCTGCAGCGCCAGCGCGAGCTCTACGAGCGCCAGCTCGACTCGCTGCGCCAGCAGCTGCCCCCCGAGTCGCTGTCTCCGTCGCGAGCCCCCGCCAGTGGCGCCCGCGCCACGCTGCTGTCGCCCCCGACCCCTGGGACCTCCAACCGGCTCCGACAGTGGGCGGAGGAGAGGTAGGGGGCTCGGCGCCAGCGGTGCGGACGCCGAGCTGTCTGCTGCTCGCGTCGCCGTGCTGACCCCGTGCCGGTGGCGTGCGTGTGCCGAGCCGCGTGGTTATGTATGGACGTTGAACTTCTTTCGCGCCCTACGTAGCCGACCGCGATAAAACAGTGTGTGTACGGGTGATGGAGTGATTGTGAGTCTGTGTAGTTCAGTGCACATATATGTGTATGTGTGTGTCAACTCAGTCTTAAATAAGTACCTGGTGCAGTGTGTCGGGACAAAGGCGGCTGGACGTGGTGTACCATATGCCGGCCTTCATCGGTGCTCGCTAACATCACTCGCCCTCTGGGTCTGTTTAGGCTCTTGGCGGGGGATCTTTATTTGTGTTTGTGTGCGCAGGGACCAGGTGTTCAGGCTCAGCCTGGCAAGGCTACGGGAGCAGGTGGTGCGCACCGACGCCCTGGTGCGCGAGGCGAACTTCCTCGCTGGCGAGATGGGGAGGAACACCGAGTACCAGGTCACGCTGCAGATCCCAGCGCACAATCTCAGCGCCAACCGCAAGGTACCAACGCTCGCGGCGCTCGACACACCGCACCCTTGGCGAGATGCATGCATGTTGTAGTAGTGTGTGTGTGCGCGTGCATGAGCACTGTGAATCCGTGTGAGTGTGTGTGTGTGTCGGGCGTGGTGCTGGCCACCCAGCCCCTCGCATGCTGTGCCAGCCTTCGTTTAACAGCACTTGCCCCAACAGTCCGTTAAGGCTACACGGGTGGACCTTTGTCTTTGTCTCTGCGCGTGCTCGTACGCCGTGTGCGCGCGCCACAGAGGGGGGGCATGGTGAGCGAGGCGGCCGTGCAGGTGAGGAGGGAGGGGAGGGGCACGCAGGTGTGGGGCGTGGAGAAGCTGGAGAACAAGCTGGTGGACATGCGGGAGCTGTACCAGGCGTGGCGTGAGCAGCATCCCGCCGTGAGTCCCCGCGAGCCGCACCCTTCCCTGCCTGCCGCATTACCGGTCGTTATCGGCGTGAAACTAACGCTGAACTATATCTTTTTTTCGATTTAAAGCTTTCGTGACTGCAGAGATTCATAGTCTTGGTTCTTTTCGGTAATGTCACGTAGAAGGAAATAATAAAATAATAACGTTAAGAAAAAACTTTTTTCTAAAAAAATTGCTGTGGTTTTCACACCTGATGATGATTGCTTGTGTTGCAATCGAAACGTCGTGAGAATTTAATAGTTTAAATTGTATTGCTTTATTATTTCCCTTCTATGTGACTTTACCGAAAGAACCAAGAATACCGAAGTATTTTTTTATTAATTTACCAGGTAAGGCCCACTGAGCTGCATAGCTCTTTTTCTTTCCACAAGCGACCTGGCCACAAATGATAGCTTCAACGAGGTGGCTTGCCATGTGGAAATTGATAGCAGCCAAATTGATAGCGGCCGAATAAACGCGTGTTGGTATTTAAAAATGTGGAGGGGAAAACCGGAGGACCCGGAGATAAATCCACGCGACCACGGTGAGAGAGACCGCAAAACTCCAAATATACAGCAGGCATCGGAGTCGGGATCGAGCCCACGACCTCCTGTATACCAGGCGAGGTAGTTAACATATCACCACCGCGCGGACACTGACGATCGGTTTGTTGAGAGGCGGCGGCGTGGCCCAGCGGTGTTGGCTTTTACTGCTTTATTGCAGAGGGTTCACGGTTTTGAATCCGGCCGGCCGCCCTGGTTAATACCGTGCTGAGGATTAACTGTAAAGTACTACCACGCGCCCGTCGCTTCGCTCGTGGGTGGACGTAAACATTTTTTTTGCCAAATATGAATGAATTCACCTAAAATCGATCAACATGGACCCCCTCACCTCCTCCACTGCAGACTCTGTCTGTGGAACACAATGGGTTTCTTCGTGATGATTTTCTGTCCTTTTTCTTATTTGGCTTATTTGTCCTTTTTATTATTCATTTATTTTTACTGCGACATGTTGCGTATGTCGGAGAAGCAGCGGTGTTTTTTTGTTGTTGATGAAACCCGATTTAAGAGCTTCTTGACTCTAAATAAACTACTAACACTCTTGCTTTATACGAACTGCACAGATAGCAACCTTTTATTTACTTATTATTAATTATTTGTACAAATGATTCCACCATCGGTTACAGTTTGACCACGTGTCTCGCTGGCTGCTGCTGTTGTCGCCGTGGCACTGATCCTGTACAACTCTTGCCGTGGTGAGTGTGTGTTGCAAGCGCCACCCCGAGGTCAGCCCTGTGTGTGTTGGTCACACTGCCCCGCTCTATGTCACCCTTGCCCCAGTCCTGCTGTGCTGTGCGTCTCATCGTGTGTGTTCGCGTGGGGAGCAGCGTTGCAGTGGTTAGCGCACTGCACTACGAACCCGGCGACCCGGGTTTGATCTCCGCTTACGACCAATAACTGAATATCGGAACCGGCCCTGGGGCCTCGCCTAGGTCGACTCGGCCTCAAATGAGTACCTGGTGCGGTGTGTAAACATCACTAGGGAGACAAAGGCGGCCGGGGCGTGGTGCTGGCCACCCTTGTGTGCCGTACCAGCCTTCGTAGGTGCTCGCGAACAGGCACTTGTCCCTTCCAGGCTATTAAGGCTACACGGGGGATCTTTGTCTTTGGTGTACCGTGTGCAGGAGGGAGCCGGCTGGGGCCGTCAAGCCGACCCGTTTTTCGAGGCCCAGGAGAACCAGAAGCTGATCGGCGTGGCCAACGTGTTCCTGGAGTGCCTGTACCACGACGTGACGCTGCAGTATGCGGCGCCCATCATCAGCCAGCAGGGCGAGGTGAGCGAGCGCCGCCTCGTCTCCTGTGCACACGTGGAGAGCGGCAGGGCAAGTGGAGAGCGGCAGGGCAAGTGGCTCGCTCGCTGCGCTGCGAAGCCGGCGGCGGCCCGCATTCGATTCCCACTCACGACCAACGTCCGTGATGTCTGAACCGGTCCTGGGCCTTTCCCCGGGCGACTCGGCCTTCAACGCGCACCTCGTGCGGAGTGTAAACATCGGCACTGCGGAGATAAAGGCGGCCGGGGGGCGTTGTGGGCCCACAGACCCCCACGTGCGCCTTGCCGGCCTTCGTAGATGCTCGCTAACAGCACTTGACCCCACCACAGTCCTTTAAAGGCCACACACTGGATCGTTGTCTTTGTGTGTGACTGTGCGTGTGTGACTGTGTGTATGTGACTGTGCATGTGCGTGTGCGCATGCGTGTGTGCGCACGTACAGGTGGCCGGGCGCCTGCACGTGGAGCTGGAGCGCGTGGGGGGGGCCGTGCCCGACCGGTTTGGGGGCGGCGAGGAGGGGGGCTCGGAGAACTCGAGCGAGAGCGGAGTGTGCGACGAGTGCGAGGGGGACGGGAGCCCCCCACGCCGCCTCATCTGCAGGGTGAGCGGCCCCCCCCATCCCCCCCCCTCCCATCCCACATTTCGGCACTCTCCGTGAGCAATGGGATCGTAATGTTATTTATGTAATAGAATCAGGAATCTGAATATTTATTTATCCTGGAGGAATCCAATGAACTATAAAGCTTTTTTCACAGATGTCCAGTAACGCTGTGTGTGTGTAATGCTGTTTGTAACATCTTGTAAACCTTGCAGATATGTGTGACATCGTTGTGTGTGTTTGTATGTTTATATTTACTTGTGTATGCGTCACGCGACTGTGTGTGTGTGTGTGATGTGACTGTGTGTCTGGCATGGCATGTGCGTGACGTGGCCCTCAATGTGTCTGACACGGCTGTGTGACGTGGCACCTGGGTCTATTCCATGACCATTGACACGTCACGTCGCCTCAAAGTGTTGCAGACTAAGTGGCCTGGCTTGTGCCAGGTTGTCTAGCGGTTGTTATTGTTGAGTACCTGGTGCGGTGTGTACGTATCGCCACGAAGGAGAGACAAAGGCGACCGGGCGTGGTGTTGGCCACCCACCCCCTCATGTGCCGTGTTAGCCTTCATGTTTGCTTCTCACTAACAGCACTTTGCCCCAACAGTGTGTTAAGGCTATACGGGGATCTTTGTTTGTGCTTAACAAGATTGTGCGCTTCCGTCACACGGCTCTTGCGTGTGACCATCAGGTGAAGATCCGCGAGGCTACGGGGCTGCCCCCAGGCTCTCACCAACTTCGTCTTCTGCCAGTACTGGCTCTGGGACCACCCCGAGGCCACGGTCGTGCCGCCCGCGCTGGGCCCCGACTCGCGCTCCCCCTCCACCCCCACGGCCCCCTCGGCCCCCTCCTGTTCCGTCAAGTTCGGCCACTGCAAGGTGAGCGATGCGGGGCGGTCACACGGCATCCGGAGCGGAGCTCTGTGATTGTTTAAGTAATCAATCACTCTGGCAATTATGGGGTTTAATCACTTGGCAGAGCAGATAACACCAACAAGGTTGCAACACATGTGCCGCTGGACAGGAGGTGATGGGTGGGACTTGCTGACCTCAGCGGTATCGCTGGGCGTAGGCTTCATGGAAGGTGATTTTCCTGCCTTCGGGAGTGGCCACTATTTTATAGTGACCCTGAGGAGTCAACCACTGTGTGTGTGTCTTGTTTCTGGGGCGGGGTTGGGGAGCAGTGGTGTAGTGGTTAGCACACCACACGACGAACATGTGGCGACTTTTGTTCAATTGCCGCTCACGGCCAACATCGGTGACGAATATCTAAACCGGTCCTGGGCTTGCGGTAGGTCAACTCAACCCTTAAATTAGTACTTGGTGCAGTGTGTAAAAACATCAGCACTGGGGAGACAAAGGTGGGCGGGCGGGCGTGGTGCTGACCGCCCTTCCCAACGTTTGCTGTGCCAGCCGTCATAGGTGCTCGCTAACAGCACTCTCCCCAACAGTCTGTTAATGGCTACACAAGGGGGATCTTTTGTCGTCGGTGTTGTCAGGAGTTTGTGGTGAATGTGACGGAGGACTTCCTGGAGTTCATGATGGACGGGGCCCTCTCCGTGGAGGTGTGGGGTCACATGCACGGGGGTGCGGCCGGCTCGCGACCGCCCTGGGAGTTCACCACGCTGCAGGCCAAGACGCGCTCACTGCGTGACCGGTACGCACACAACGATGAAGATCCCAGCAGACCGTTGGGGCGAGGTGCTTTTAGCGAAGCAGCTATAAAGGCCGGCAACGGCGCGCTAGGAGTTGGGTGGCCAGCATCACGGCCGGCCGTCTTTGGCTCCCCAGTGGCGATGTTTACACACAGCGCCAGTTGACCTCTGAGAGGCTCCAAGCCTGGTTCAGAAATTCGTCGCCAAGTTTGGCCATGAGCGGTAATCGAACTTGGGTCGCTCAGTTCTCAGCAGAGTGCGCTAACCATGACACTACCATTCCCCACGTACGGGGACGCACGCACGCACGTTATGTTTAGAAACATCTTTGTTTCACGTTTTAAATGTGACCGCAACTGCAGAACCTGTACAGAGCATGTTTAATTAATGGAGAAGCAGTTTGTCACTGGCAGGAGGGGCCAAAAGGGAAGCGCTCAAGCGTGGGGCCTGGATGGTTGCGGGCAATGAGGGCAGCAGAGCGGAACGAGCGACCTGCCGCTGAGCGAAGGTTTGTTTTCATTTTGCAGGTGGGGGGAGGTGACGCGCAAGCTGGAGCTGTGGGTTGAGATTCAGGAGCTGAACGAGGAGGGGGAGTACTCGCCCGTGGAGGTGACGCAGGCCCGCGACGTGCACACGGGAGGCGTGTACCAGCTGAGACAGGTGCGAGCGGGCTGCACGCACCCAACCTCGCACGCACGAGCAGATGCCGCTCCACACGCACATTGTGTCCGGTCCTCACTCTCCTCCAGCACCGGCCAGACCCCGAGCGACGAGAGCAGAAGCCGCCGTACAGCCCGAACGCACGGCCACCACGCGCCCAAGCAGCTTCTGTTTGGCTGCTTAGAGGGGTCTAAACGGGCATGGCACAAGCTGAAGAAGAGATGGGTTGATGTGGTACGGAAGGACGCGGAGCTGATTGGACTTGCCGATGGCTGGTACCTGCGGCGTTGAGATCCGCCCCTAACGAGGAGGCTCGTGAAGGATCCTCCTGGGCAGTTGGAGCCACGCTCGCAACAACGAGCAGAGCGCCATTGTGGATAAAACGCAGCAAGTTGGCACGGTAGGGAGCACAGCTGCTGCATCTGCTAGTCATCTCAGTCAGTCGACCAATAACACCGGGGTCTGTCCCTTGACCTCCTGCCAACGACGCGTAGCTTGACACCTCCGCCGTTTCGACTGTCGCGATTGGCCGGCGCCACCGCCGACGGACGCCGCCGTTGCCGACGCCGCGCGTCGTCTGCGTGCGCGCGTGCAGGGCCAGTCGCGCCGCGTGCAGGTGAGCGTGCGGGGGGTGCAGCAGTCGGGGACCCTGCCCATCGTCCCCGAGGAGGTGCTCTCCATCGCCGTTGGCGGCATCACCGCCCGTTGCAGTCGCCTCCAGCGACCCCTCGACTCGTACCAGGCGAGTGGCACCCGCCACCGGCAGGGTGCCGAGGCTCCACCCAGCTGATGCGGGGGTGGAGGGGGGGGGACAGACATACTGAACCTCATGGTGGGACCCCGGGGTCCCTTAAGCCCCCGGCTCTCGCGTAAATTGCGTTGCGACGTCATTTTATGCCTGTTGAAAGTGAACGATACGGCAATCTATTCCTCTCGACGAGCTCTACACGATGCGTTAATCGAAGTTTAAAAGTTTAGTTTCTTGTGCGCATTCGTCCTCTCTGCGCTTGGATGACACAGCAACAGAATGATCCGCGCCAGGTGGGTCGTGGTGTTTATTTGCGCGGTGGGACGGAGTCGCCAGAAATTAATTACGATTTTGACTTACGTTTATTCGGCACCCCGAGGTCCCGCCATAAGGTTCATTTCCGAAAGCGTGCACACACGCACACTCGTGCATTTAACAAACACAAACATACGTGCACACGGGCACATACAACACAGGCGCGTGAACTTGTACACACACAAGCACAAAGACAAAGATCCCCGCGTATAGCCTTAGCAGACTGTTGGGCAAGTGCTGTTAGCGAGCACCCAAATGCACACACGCATGCACAGATGTGGGCCAAATTTGCACGCTCACGCACACCTGCACACACCTGCGCACACCTGCACACCTGTACACACCATCGCGCTCGTGGTTTTCCATCGCAGCTCCCCTAATGCAGTTGTTCTCTTTTTGTGTCGTCGTAACTCGCGTGCCGTCCCCTGCCAGAGTGAGGAGGGAGATCCCAAGGAGTTGGATAGTTACCAGGTATCGCGTCGGTCGTCGCCCCCCACCCCTGCACCCCCGCATGGTGTCCCCGGTGCTCGTGAGCACGCAGAGCCGCGGAGACCCCGAATGAAGTCGAGCCGCTGGCACCGCACGCGCCCACTAACAGCGCTCGCTCACACCCACCTTGCACGAGCATGTGCGTGCCCGTGCGTGCCCGCCCGCCCGCCCCGCGCGAGCTTGCGCTACCACGCGCGGCCTTGCGCTACCGCGTGCGGCCGCGGCCTAACAAGCGCCCTGCTCGCCGCGCGCCATCGTGAGTCGTGCCCTCGCTCGCACCGATTGTTGCTTCGCAGACCCGATTGAAATTAAAGCGCACGCCGGTGGATTTTTTTTTTTATTAACAGGCAACCACTCACTCGGATCCTTCCACGCGCACAGCAGAGCGAATGTTTAACGTGCCTGCTGACCCTCTCACCCCGTACCCCCCCACTCCCCGGCCCCCTCTCCCCACCACCCTCCCCGCCGTGCGGCATGATGCCGCTGCTCCTGCCTGACCCGTCCGTGTCGGTGCCCCGTGCGCGCCGCCCGGATCCGTCACGATTCTAGGACCGGGCGCGCCGCCGCCGCCGCCGTGTCTGTCGCTGCGGCGAGTCGCTCGTCCCGCCGGCGTCACGTTACTCCCCCTCCCACCCCCCACCCCTCACCCCACCCTCCAGGAGGAGGATCTCAGCTACCTGAGAGAGCGCTGGACCGAGGCCCTCATGAAGCGCAAAGAGTACATGGGCGCGCAGATGCGGCGCGTCATCGACAAGCCAGGTGGGTGTGCGCGAGCAGAGCGGAGTGGTTGGGAGGAGGGCCGGGACTCGCCAAGATCAATCTGGCCTAATATAAGTACCTGGTGCGGTGTGTAAGCATTAGCACTGGGGGAGACAAAGGTGGCCGGGCGTGTTCCTGGCCACACCCACCTCCCTGTGCTCCAGACCGGCCTTCATGAGATAGAATTTTAATTATGATTGGGACTCTTTTTTTAGGGTGGTCCTGCTTTGAGTTTTATTTTTATTTTATGTTTCCAGCCAAATTGAGTTCGTTTTAATTGATTTAATTTGTTACACGGATGATCCCGTTCAGCCAGTTTTCCCAGCTATCTATTTGTGGTGCCGTGAGCAAAGCAGCAACAAAAAGACAATTTGTTTACACATGCAGTGGGAGGAATACCCGGAGAAGACCTCGCGCAAGGTGGCAACACTCTATCCCCATACGGATGAAAACAGATGGCGATTAGTCAGCTTGCTAGACCGCCTTCTCCTGGCGTCTCAGGTTATGGCTCCTCCTCGACCCCTGCGGGGAGTTCCACAGCCACCTGTACCGTGATCCACCAACCATCGCTGCTGCTGCTGCTGCCTCCACAGCGCTTGATCACAGGCGGCCACGTGCGGCAGCGTAGCCACCACCGCCACCGTCCGACGTGTAGGTGCTTGTGAACGGCACTCGATACGGCAGTGGGTCTTTGTCTTAACCCTTTGCCGTGGGGGTGCTTGCGGGCGGCAGACAAATGCGCCGGGGACGAGGAGCGGGAGGTGCGGCTCGTCGACCAGTGGGTGAGCCTCACCGAGGAGCGCAACGCGGTGCTCGTACCGTCTCCGGGCAGTGGCATCCCAGGGGCGCCCGCTGACTGGTAACGACGACCCCCCCCCCCTCCCCCCCTCTTTCCCCTTTTCCTTCACTTCCCATAAAAATGCCGTGCTCCCGAATCGTTATCCCTACGCCGGTCGGGCAGTGAGCCCACCTCTGTCCCCTTCTCCTGCCTCGTGAGCACCGCGGAATATCCGTGACCCCCTCTTATCGCTCGCGCTTTGTGCCGCACCCTTGTTAATAAACACAAAAGCAACGGCAGTGTCGGTGCGCGTATGTGTGCGTCTGCGCGTGTATGTGTGCGTCTGCGCGTGTGTACATGTGCGCGCACGCCTCTGTACGGAGAGCAGTGGTACGGTGGTGAACGCTCGGCGCTACGAACCCGGCGACCCGAATTTGATTCCCGGCTAACACCAGTGGCGAATATCTAAATCGGTCCTGGACCTCAGCTAGGTCGACTCGGCCTTGAATTGGTACCTGGTGTGGTGTGTAAACATCAGCACCGGGGAGGCAACGGTGGCCGGGCGTCGTCCTGGCTACATCACCGCCTCGTGAGCCGTGCCGGCCTGCACAGGTTGCCCCAAAAGTCTATTGAAGGCTATACGGGGATCTTTGTTGTGTACATGTGTGCATGTGCGTGCATGTGCATTGACACACAGATTCTCACGCACTTGCATATGCTCTCACCTGTGCGCGCCTGTGCGAATTGTCGGCGTGTACATGCACGCAGTAGCATGGTGGTTCACGCACTGCACTGCCAGCCACGGCTAAAATGAAGTGCGGGTGACATCTGAACCCGTCATGTGCCTTCGCTAGCTTGACACGACCTTCAATGGTGCAAGGTAGAAACGCCTGGCTGTGGCTCCGACCACACCGCCTCCTGGTGTGTCACGCCAGCCTGAAAGAGGGCTCGCTAGAACAGCGCATGCCCTCAGTGGTCTTTAAGAAGGGCTACGTGGGGGATCTTTGTCTTCTTGTGTTTGTGCAGGACCCCCCCGCCTGGTATGGAGAAACACATCCCAGTGCTCTTCCTCGATCTCAACGGTGAGGGGCGACCCTCTGTATGGGGTGGGGGGGGGGTGCGGTGTTGTAGGGAGGGGGTACGAGGGGGGGTGCACTGGGGCTCTCCACTTCCCTCCAATGTTACTGCCTTGGCCCCAAGCTTGGCTGTGTGCGTGCACCTGCTTGTGCGTATTAACTACCTCGCCTGGTCTACAGGAGGTCGTGGATTCGATCCCGACCCTGACGCCTGCTGCATATTTGGAATTGCGGTGTCTCTCTCTCTCTGTCTCTCCCCATGGTCACGTGGACTTTTCTCCGGGTCCTCCGGGTTTTCCCTCCACATTTAGACTCGACATCACACGTTTAGAGTATTTGGCTACTATAAATGTCCACATGATAAGCCACTTTGTTGAGCTATCATTTGTGGCCAGGTCGCTTCTGAAAAAGATCTGAATAACTCAGTGGGCCTTACCTGGTAAAATAAAAAATTGTTTAGTAGTAGTTTTTAAATAGTGTGTGGGGAACAGTGGTTAGCGCGCTGCGCTACGAACTCCGGGGATCCGAGTTCGATTCCCGCTCACAACTATCACCAGGGACGATTATCTGAACCGGTGCTGGGCCTCCCCAAGGTCGACTCGGCCTCAAATGATTACCTGGTGCGGAGTGTAAATATCGCCACTGGGGAGATGAAGACGGCCGGACGTGGTGCTGGCCACCCACTCCCTCGTGTGTCATGCTGGCCTTCATAGATGCTCGCTAACAGCACTTGCCCCAACAGTCTGTTAAAGGCTATACGGGGGATCTTTGTCTTGTCATAAATGCGAACGTTCTGAAACATGTGCCGTGTGTGTGCCTGTGTGGTGGGTGTCTGTGTGTGTGTGCCTGTGTGGTGGGTGTCTGTGTGTGTGTGCCTGTGTGGTGGGTGTGTGTGTGTGTGTGTGCCTGTGTGGTGGGTGTCTGTGTGTGTGTGCCTGTGTGGTGGGTGTGTGTGTGTGTGCGCATGTCTTTGCCTGTTTCCGCTCGCGTGTGTGTAAGGACTTCATGTGTGTGTGTGTGTCAATGTGTATGCTCTGATACGCGTACTGTGCTTGCCTGCTTGCGTGCGTGCGGTGTAGCGGAGGACCTGAGCTCGCAGGAGCTGTTGACCGGGCGCTACGCGGCCGGAACCAACTCCATTCTGCCCAAAGAGCTCGGCAGCCCCTTCTACTGCCTGCCCATCGTGCGGCACTCGGACAGCCAGGTGAGCTGCTCGTACACGGTGACACAGTGACACACTGGCACACACAGAAACACGGGTACACACGAGTACACACGGGTACACACTGGTGTACAGGTACACACGGATACACACGGATACACATTGGCGTACAGGTACACACGGGGACACACGGGCTACACATTGACACACAGGTACACACGGGTACACACGGATACACACTGGCACACAGGTACACACCGACACACTGACACACGAAACACACAGGCAGATTGGGCAACTACTGTTAGCAAGCACCTAATGAAGACCGGCACGGTGCACGAGGGGGTGGGTCACCAGCACCACGCCTGACCGCTTTTGTTTCCCTAGTGGCGATGTTTATACGTCGCACCAGGTACTCATTTGAGGCTGAGTCGACCCTTGGGGAGCTCCAGGTCCGGTTGAGATGATCATCACTGGTATTGGTGGCCGTGAGCGGGATTCGATCTTGGCTCAACGGGTTTGTGGTGCAGCACGCTAACCGCTGCCAATGTATGTACGTTGAACGTCTTTCGCACCGCATGTAGCCAACTGTGCTAGTCGAAAGGTTCGGGGGATGGACAACAAACTAAAATGCCACAAGGGCACACACACACAGACGCGCCTACGCATAAACCAACACGCGCACACGTACACACACACACGCGCACACACACACCGTCCTCTGGAGGCACCTGTCCCCACGCGCCACCGTGCCGGCTGCCCCAGGTGTGCGCCGTGGCCTCGTGGGACTCGTCGCTGCACGACTCGCCGCACCTCAACAAGATCACCGCGGCAACGGAGCGCATCTACCTCATCGCCAAGGCGACCGTGCAACTGAGCCACCCCGCCGCCATGGAGATGGTGCTGCGCAAGCGCGTGTGCGTGTGCGTCTACAACAAGCAGGCGAGTGCGTGCGCGTCGAGTGCGCGCGCGCGCGTGCGTGCGTGCGTCTGTGTGCTTCTACAACAGTGGTGGCTGTGCTGGACGTGGTTTGCGATCCAGCACTGTTGGAGGAAGCAACAAGGGTTGGTGGATCACCACGCAGATGTTGTGGAACTCCCTTCCCGTGGGCGTCGAGGAGTTGCCAGGAGAAGGCAGTACAGCAAGTGGACTCATCGCTGTCTATTTCCATCCCTATGGGGATCGAGTGTTGTCCCCTTGCACCCCTGGGTTTGCTCTGGGTGCCTCCGGTTTCCTCCCACGTGTGTAATAAGCTCTCATTAATTGGCTGAAAACATCCTTAAATTAACAACCCAATGCAGGATCCTGCTGAAAAAGAGTAAATCAGTCAACCCATGGCATCTGGGTCTGTCCCCTGACTTCCTGCCAGCGAGCCTTCGACACTTCACGTGGCCTCAGTGCACCTAGCCTGGCACAAGCACTGTAGTGGCAAATGGTGGCTGTTGTCATTAACTGTATTTGTGCATCTATAGACAGTGCGTGTGTGTGTGTGCGTATAGATTGCGTGTGCGTTTGTACAGACAGCGCATGGGGGGAGATGCTGATGTTGCTTTGCGCTGCGCTTGATTCATCAGAGTTTCACGCAGAGCCTCAAGCGGAGGATGTCGTCACGGATTAGCCAGCGCAGCACAGGGGTTACTTACGAGATCGTGTCCAACATTCCCACGGTAGTTCCCGCGCTCCACACACCGCACCGCCACATACCGCACAAGTGTTCACCCCATACCTGTCAACCCCTTATCAGTGCCCTACCTTATTACAGACCAACTCAGACCTTCTTGGTCACCCCCTGCCCCTTATAAATCTCAACGTTCATCCTACAAAGTCCCATCACAAGGGAGAAACACACCAAAGAAAATGTTGCCCGTATTTAAACGGCTGTATCGCCGTATGGACCTGCAAACTCAATTTCCCGTGCAAGAATTACGGGTAAACCGTTGTGGGTTGACAGCCATGCCACCCGTGCCAGCGTTGCCCTGCGCGCGTTCACCCGTGCGCATGTCTCGGCCTGCGCCAGGCGTCGGAGGAGCCCGAGGAGCGGGAGACGCTGGCGCTGATGGCGGCGCGGGGCGGCGAGGGGGCCGGCGCGGGGGAGGAGGGGGACGAGGAGCCGTGGGGGGGAGGGGACGGCTACATGGAGACGTACGCACGCGGGGTGCTGGGCGTGGAGAGCATCCTGGGCCTCGACCGCCTCCGACAGGTGCGGCGGCCGCCCTCCCCCGCGGAAGAGCGCAGCCCCTCGCTCCAACCGTAGCGCTCACACGAACCGGAACATTACCTCCAACAATAACCATAGCTCTGACTGGAACACTGACCATAGCACCGATGAGTGCCAGTGGCTCGGTGCTGGAGGGAGCAGGAAGTGACTTGTACTCGGCGTGTCGTGTGTGCAGGAGGTGGTCGTCAGGGAGAGTTTGGCCGCCAAGGGCCGACCCAGCCGTAGGAGTAGCAGCAGCAGCAACATGCAGCGGGTGAGTGGGATACACGCACACAGAGAGACATGCACAACACACACAGAGACACACACACACAGAGACATACACACACTCACACACGGAGACATACACACACTCAACACACGGAGACATACACACACACAGGGACATGCCTACTCACGATGTCACACGCTCGCCCACACACGTGCGCACACATCCATCTAAATTTGTGATGGCCTTCAATCCGAGTCCCGTGTGCCAACGCATCGCGCTGTCTGTGCCCTGCGCTCCCTGCCCGTGTTGGCGTCGCTCGCAATGCAGCTGTCGAGTGGCAGTCGGATGGATCTGAGTGGCGGCTGTGAGGAGGACGACAGCAAGGTATGGGTATCGGTCTGCTGAGTGCAAGCACAGGCGTGCACGTTCACGTGTGTGTGTCTGTCCGTGTGGAAATGGGGAGCGAAAGTGTATTGGTTGGCGCCCTACGCTACGAACCTAGCGACCCGGGTTCGAATCCCGCTCACGGCCATCAACACCAGCGACAATTATCTGAGCCCGTCCTGGGCCTCCCCTAATTCGACTCAGCCTCAAATTAGTACCTGGTGCAGTGTGTAAACATCTCCACTAGGGAGACAAAGGCGGCCGGGCGTGGTGTTGGCCACCCACCCCCTCGTGTGCCATGCCGGCCTTAATAGGTGCTGCTCGCTAACAGCACTTACCCCAACAGTCTGTGAAGGCTATACGGGGTTCTTTTTTTTTGTCCGTTTGGATAGGATTGCACTACACGGTAATGCCAGGGGGGGGCATCTCCAGTGGCGTAGCGTGGGTGGCATGGGCCCCGGTGCAAGGAATGAAATGAGACCCTTCTGTACAAACAGGGCACCGTACAGTAGAATGTATATTTTATATTTTTTAAATCAACTCTAGAGTATCCAAAATAATTTCCCTGCTCTTAGCAGCACGGTGCCCGGAACGGACCTCTCTGGCCCGTGGGCCCTGGTGCAGCTGCACTGCCTACACAGTCAATAGCTACGCCGCTGTACTTCCCCTCTTGACGGACGCGACGTTACGCGCGTTTTCCTGTGCGTCTGTACACGTGTGAGCGTGTTCACGCGACGGTGTGTGCGTGCGTTTTCCCGCAAGTTGCAGCTGCACTGGGACAGCTTCCAGGACATTTCGAGGGCCGCGCGGGGTCACGACCCCCCCACCACGGCCGCCACGGCCGCCCCGGCCTTCGACTCCGCGCCCCCCACGGAGCCCCCTCCGCCAGCGCCACGCCCCCCGGCGCCGCCGCCGCCGCCGCCCCCGCGGCTGATGAAGGCGCTGATGCCGACGCGGCAGCTCCGCTTGTCGGAGCGACCCCGCGAGGCGCGGCCGCTGCTGGGGCCACAGGTGACGGCGAGGAGCAAGGAGCGTCGCGCGGGGGCCCTCTAGGACCTAGGCAACCGCAGGCCCGGCCCCGTGTGCTCTCACCTGGCCCCGACCTCTCCACACCCTAACCCGACCCCAATGTGTGCTAACCCGTGCTGTGTTCCAGGACCCGTGTGTGTGCGCCATTGAACCATGCCTCGGCATAAGCCCTAACGACAGCCCTCCGCCCGCCTCCGACCAGCAGGTGTAACAACAACTTACACCTGTGTGTGTGTGCGTGTGTGCGTGCGTGCATGCGTGCTTTGCCTGCATGAACCCACCCACCTGCTTGTCTATCTGGTTGCCTGGTTGTTCTGTCTCCCACATTCCTACTTGTTGCTTGGTTGCCTGTCTCCCCGCATGCCGACCTGCCTCACCGCTCGCTGGGTTATCGGTCTAATCTGGTGCCTGACTGGGGATCTCAGGATTCACGATCCCCTCTTGTCCGTGTCTCGCACGGCGACTGCCGCACGTTAACCGCATCTCAAACTAGCCATGCCAATCATGGGATTTGACGCGGTCTGCCTTGGCTTCCTGCGCCTGTGATTGACAGATCTGCCCTGGGCGTGGCTCCGCTGTGGCCCTGCTCTCGGCTCTCACCGAGCCAGGGACGCTTTGTGCCGGATCCGTTTGCCGTCCGATCTCGCGCGCAATCGCGCTCTCGCCTGCTTTGAGCTCGCACCGGTGCTCCGATGCCCATGACTTGGGGTGTTGACACGCGTGTGATTCGCGCGGGGGGGGGGGGGGCGGGGGTCTTTACGTCCGCGTGTGCTTCGGCACCGGTGGCGTTGTCCTTATTCGCGGTTGGTCTGAGCAGCTTCGGGACTCGTCCGAATCCGAGTCCGAGGAGGAGGAGGAGGAGAACGAGCTGGGTCCTGCTACGACCATCGCCACGTCGGGAGCCCCGGGACCCGCGGCGTCGCCCGCGCCGCCACCAAGTACTCCGCCCCCAGGAGGAGGAGGAGGAGGGGAATTCTCTGAGTTCGTCGGCTTCTCAGCCGGCGGCGGCGGCTCGGGCGCGGCCGCCTTTGACGCGGCCGCGCTGGGAGGCCCCGCGGCGGGGCCGGCGGCCGTGTCGCGCAGCCCCACCGCCAGCAGCCTCTCCTCCAGCGGCTACTTCTCCCACAGCACGTCCAGCGCCACGCTGTGCGACGGTGCCGCGGGGGCGCCGGAGCTCGCGGGGTCGGAGGTCGCCGACCCCAGAAGAGAGGCGACCGAGGCCTCTCGAGACGACGACGAGGACGGAGGAGGAGGAGGAGGGCGTTGTTCTCGCTCCAGCAGGGAGGATGGCCTGCCCGCGGTGCCCGAGGCGGGCACAGAGGGGAGCTGCACATGCGACGCGCGTGACCGACCTGTGCCCTGCAGGGCAACTGGGGAGCAGCAGCAGCAGCAGGAGGGGTGCGACCACCACCACCGGCGGCGACAGCAGTGCGACGACGGAGCCCGAAGCGCCAGTAAGGACGGCGAAAACAACGTGGGAGATTGCGACGACACGGACGCCGAGAGCGACGTCGAGGACTGTAGCGACCACGGCGACGTCGCCGAGAGAACTGAGCCGCGAGGGGAGGGGCCCCCCCTGGGGCAGGGGACCGAGGGGAAAGAGCCGGGGGACGAGGAATGTGCGGCGGCAACGCCACCGCCGCCGCCGCCCTCCCCCGTGGCGAGGCTCCCCTCGCCTCCCCCGGCTCCCCGAGTCCACAAGAGGGCGCCGCCCGCACCGGCGGCGGCTGCGGCGAACCCCAGGAGCCGGCGCGGTGCGGCACGACCCCCCGGCACGCGGGCCCGAGGGGCGGCCGCCCCGCTCCCCGGCGGCAGCGGGGCGAGGTCCGCGGGACGAGCGGGGGACGGCGCCGGCGGCGGCGCCGATATCCGGCGCTCGCGGGTCACCTGAGCTCTCGCGCCGCCTCGGCCGTGCCGGTCGCCCGCCGATTTTGCGGCGCGAGCGTGTGGAGGAGTATTACCAAATCATCAAAAGGGGTTCCCCCTGGGTTGAAGGAACCACAACGGTTGAGTGTTACACCGCAATGCCATCAAGAGTGCTCGTACGCAGCACAGGCGGGAGGGGCGGGGGGGTGGGAAATGCGTTTTACTACACCGTTTACCACGCGTTTTACTATATGTGTTTTACTCTGCGTTTTACTACACTAACAAAACTGAAGCTTTTTAATAACGGAGGTCTCGTCGCACTGCCCGCGAGGCCCCAGCTCGCACTGCCCTGCGTCCATGTGCCTTGAGCCGCGGAGTGACGCTCACAAAGCCACCATGTAGGGTTTGCCTACCGGGGCTCTCTAAAGACACCCTGCCTGGGGGCGCCATACCGTGGCAAGCTGGGTCTGTAGAGAGTAGCTACCGGTAGTTAAGGGACCACAGACGGTGGTAGCTGGGTTGCTGTAGACAGTGGTCACTGCCTGGAGCCCGTAGCGTGGCTCCCCTGGAGCTGTAGAGGGTGGTGACGAGCGGATGTTGGGAGAGAAGCTGCCAGAAGCTGTCGATCAGGGGCGAGGAACCCACCAGCCCTCTGGCCCGCGACTTCATTGCTTCCATCGGCCCTCAAACCGATGGCTGTCGCATCGCTGCACCAAACATCTTAGCTGCACTAATCGGCACCACAGAGAGGAGTGATTTTCGACCTGCCAACACCGTGTTTATAATCGTGGCACGCACAGTCGCTTCTCGTCACCGCAAGGTCAGGCGGCCCTCTTGCGGAGACAGCAGTGGCCGAGGGGTACGCTCCGTTACTGTGGCGGCCCCCGGTAAGGAAAGTGTCCCCCCACCCCTGGTGTGTAGAGGGAGTAAGCAAAACCAGGGACTGCTGTTGCGAAATCTCCGGATCCTTGGGGAACAAACCGACACTCGTGCCTGGTGGGGTGAATGATCGCCCGGTGGTGATTTCCCCGATGTTAATGTAAAGTATAAAGTATTTAAAACAAAAAAGAAAGCCAATATATCGAGTGGAAAAGATGCACTGAGCCGAGCGTGCCTTGCCCTTTGTTTGTACACCTCCTTCGGAGAAGGCCGGGTTTAGGCGCCGCTGTCACGGTTGAAATGCATTTTCTGGAGAATAATTACGGAGCATTACCATCACTGCTGTTGTTGTGGCGTCGTTTTTTTTATTCAACACTTTCAAACTGAGGGTGAAAGTGTGAAAGCATTAGCTCTGTACGTCTGGCTGTTTGCCCGTCTGTGTGTCAATCTTATCTGTAGCAGAGGGGAGCCGTGTGATAATCCATCTAAAGTTTATCCTATATAGATACAATTTTAATATAAAATGGCCTTGCGATCAAGGTCTTGCCTGATCTGGCCATATTGAAAAAATGGCCTGTCCAAAATTTGGCAATTAAAAAATGCAGCGCTAAAATAGATCCTCGGCCACCGCCTTGTGACTCACTTCCCCGGGACGCGTGATGTCATCTTGTGTGGCTCGGAAAGTAAAATTATTGGGAACTGAACGTCTCCGAGGACAACCGTGTGTGGGATAGCGTTCAGAATCTTGTTCCTGTTACAACGAAACAGCCCCAGACGTTCACCCCTGGGATGGGGGGTGGGGGGGAGGCTTACCGACATCAGCCCCCCCCTCCTCCCCACCAGGACAACAGCTTGATCTGTGACAGTCTCGGATCGTGGCTTTGGTCTTCGTCGCACTCTACGCGCACCTATCACTCGCCACGAATGCATGCTCGCGCGTCACCATCCATCCATCCATCGTTTTCAATCCACGTGCATTACACACTGGATGGTAACGCTACGTAAGCCTATGATGACCAAATCACCCGCAATGTGATCTTGGAATCTCAGTTCAAACCTCAGTCACATCACGTCAAAGACGAAGGTCCCCCGTATAGCCTTAACAGTCTGTTGGGGCAAGTGCTGTAAGTGAGCACCTATGAAGGCCGGCACGGCACACGAGGGGGTGGGTGGCCAGCATCCCGCCCGACCGCATTTATCTCCCCAGTGGCGATGTTTACTACACGCCGCACCAGGTAATCATTTGAGGCTGAGTCGACCTAGGGGAGAACCCAGGACCGGTTCAGATAATCATCACTGGTGTTGGCCGTGAGCGGGAAGCGAACTCTGGTTGTCGGGTTCGTAGCGCAGCGTGCTAACCGCTGCGCCACCGCTCCCAGCGCATGCACTCCATAGCTACGCAGCTGCAGTCACATTATTTAGCCTCCCTTCTTATTCTTCTTGCTTACCCAGGAAAGCTTCACCGAGTCTCAAGTCTCTGTCTTTTTAAGAGAGAGGGCCCCTTATACTGGTAGGAACGAAGTGAACCAGCCTACAATAGATTATATCGTCCGTCCGATGTCCGATGAGGTGTAGCAACATCGCCCCCTACTGCAAGCACTTGGCAGGACCCTACAAAAACTTTTAGAGTCAGTGAGGCTTTCCTGGCTTAACAAGTGTAACATTCCCTTATAATTCCCTGAGATAGTTTTTAATTATTAATTAAAACATTTTAATTAAAAATTAACTCACAGCGACCTAAAGCCTACAGCTAGGCCTAAAGCCTAGAACTAGGCCTCAAACTCTCCCTTCGTATCGTACCCCCGCGTGTGTGAAAGGGAGTTAATATTCAACAATGTTACATTCCCTGATGTTTTTAAATAGAAACATTTACATTTAAAGCTTTTACATTAATAATTAAAACATTTAAATAAAAAAATAACTCACAGCGGCCTAAAGCCTACAGCTAGGCCTAAAGCCTAGAACTAGGCCTCAAACTCTCCCTTCGTATCGTACCCCCGCCATTTCATTTTATTATAGCCATTAATTTGTTCGTTCCTACCAGCCCACCCCGCAGGGACCTGTTCATTTTACAAAACTGGTGACATTTCACTTCAACGGGCTCTCTACACACACACACCGATCTCGGGTGGCAGACTGGCGCATTGGCAACACTTTATTTTTACCTACGTGACTTTTCCGAAAAACCCTAAGAGAATGCATTTATAATCAGAGCATGTGTGTTTGCATGTTCACCACAAGTACGTGTGCTTAATGCAGATATGATTCCTTGCAAAATGTTTCTATTTGGTGTTTGAACATCTTAACAGCTCATGTTTTCATATTCTTGAAATCAAAATTTAAAACCTCCTGTTTTATTGCCAGAAAGGGTAAAACCTCCTCTTAGTTTTTCACGCTCTACTGTCAGCCAGCCTGTGGTGGCTTTTTTGTCTTCAGAAACTCGTGGATATCCGTTGTCGACGACCAACAAGGTAGGAAACACGCACACCGCGAATTGTGTAACGCCTTCCAAACTCTGCCATCGTTATTGCTGTTAAAGGCCAGCATCATCGTCGTCATTTCCTTCCCCGTGTATCCCGTGGGTTCTGTTGCTTCTCCGATTTCCGAGGGCTCCATTGCCAAGCCCAATTAAAACGTCGCTCCTCTTCCCGTCCGTTCTTGCGAGAAACATTTCCATTCGCATCGTTGTAGGATTCCCCGTGCAGGTGATTCTCTCTGGTCGCATTGGACGCATCTGAGCAGCCAGCCTCACAGCCCGGGCAATTCAGTGAGAGACAAAGGGGATGTCCATAAATGACGTCACGCACCTGGGGGGGGGGCGGGTCAGACCTTTGTGACGAGGGGGGGTTTGAGAAATGTGACGTCACATCAAAATCCGCAATTTTAAATAAATATAGACAACACGTTCTACTTCATTAAATTGACTTTTTAATAAATGTTTTCTCCTACAACATCAGAGTGCAGCGCCACATTAAATACGCACGACAATGACAATAGTTTAAAGGGATTTGAAGCATGTTTTATATTTTTTTTGGGGGGGGGGCAGAGTTTTGTGACGTCATATTTGAGGGAGGGTGGGGTTGGGTGGGGGATGGGTGGGGTGGGGCTGGATGGGGAGGGTGGGGCTGGGTGGGGCTGGGTGGGGGGTGGGAGGGGTGGGGCTGGGTGGGGAGGGGCTGGTCACCCCGTGGTGCCCTTATAAAACTCAACGTTTAACCTACTCACGCCGGCTTGTGCCCGCCCTCACAGTCGGCAATATTTGCGGAATACACCACGCCGCCGTTGACCCTGGCCATTGACCGAGCAACCCAACGTTCCTACCAGCTCCCTCAGCAGGAATGTGTTTTAATTTAGTTGTAATTTTTTATTTATTTTAATTTTTTACCTACGTGACTTTACCTAAAAAAACTACAATCATGTGGTTTGTCATCCAATTATTAAGTGTAGGTTGAATTTGTAGGCGTGAATTCGTGTAAATTAATTGCTTGCAGTATGCTAGATATTTGACAAGCATAAGGAAGCATCATCCACGGAAGTGCGGCTTCGACAGGATCTCCATATTCTTTGGTTCTTTCGGTAAAGTCACGTAGATAGAAAATAAAATATTAAATACTAAAACAAAAATTATTAAATGTAACCCCACCTCTCCCCATCCACAACCCCTCAGGTAAGATGGCGGCTTCTTTCTCACGCGCGCGCGTGGACGTCTTTGCCCCGCCCACACACGCGACCTCGACCAATGAGCGTCGCCGCCGCTCCCCCACCCCCCTCGCGCCTACTAGTCTCGCGACCGGCGACGTCACTTCCTCTCCCACCGCGAGCGCGACCCGACAAGACGCGAGCAGCGCTTCGCCGCCGCCGTCGCCGCACAATCCGAGCCCAATCCTCCTCGACCGTGCGCCATCCGAACCCCGGCAACGCATCCCGCGCAGCGCCATGGCCTCCGTATCCGAACTCGCGTGTATTTACAGCGCTCTCATCCTCCACGATGACGAAGTCGCCATCACGGTGAGCGGCCGAGGTTGAGGCCTAAGGCGGCAAACATGGCGCTTAAGGAGGGGAAGGGGGGGGCTGATCGGGTATGGATTTGATTGTGATGAGGGTAAAATAAATACAAGTGATTTGGGAGTGTGTTTGGTTGTGGGTGAAGTATTTATATGAGGGTAGTGATGGGAGAAGTTTGGTGGTAATAGTGGAGGCGGTGATCGCGGTTGGAACTCGTGATGGTGTTGGCGGGTTCGCTGTAGTCGGTGATGTGGCGTTTGGGTGATGGGCGAGGTGGTGAGGAATCGGATGTTAGTGGTGATGATGGTCATAGGGTTGGAGGTGGTGGTGTCGATGAGAGGGGAAGGTTGGCGATGACTGTGGTAGTACTATACCGCCTGTGTGGTGGTACTATACCGCCTGTGTGGTGGTACTGGCGTGTGTAGGTGTTAAGTTATCTGGTGTTGGGCGATGTGATGGTGATGTGGGTGGTTGTGGTGATGGTGGTTGGCTTGTCTCGTCCACTGCGCACACGGAGCCGGTTGCGTGCCTTCTAACTCTGCCATGGGGCACGTGAGTAACACGTGGAGTCTTAAGCCGGTCCTGGGCCTTCGCTAGGTCAACCCAGCCTCAATTGGGTACCCGGCGAAAGTGCACGCGGTTAACACCGGGGGAGACAAAGGCGGAGTGCTGGCCACAACGAGTCTTGTGCAAGCCAATGGGTTTAACTCGAATCGGGCCTCCTGTTGATGCAGCCGAAACCCACGTGGTTCTCCGTGGAGGCCGGTCGTCTCAAAACGCCTCGAGTGGCACTGTTTTAAAACTCTGTGCCTCCGATCTTAACTCCATAGAACAAAAGTGTAGAACGCATGTCCCCGGGGCCCATGCCGTTGTATTCGTGACTTTAACTTATGCCAGTGGTCACATTAAAGCCGCGGGAATCTTGGGCGCACTGGTTTGGTACTAGAATGGCCTATGTTTGGTCTGGCAAAACACCGGTATGTACGGTAATTGTGGCAAACTCATGTCACTTATGTCACATTGCTAAGGCAGGGTGCAAGTTGTGCGGTCCGCCCTCCAAAGTTGTTTGAAAGTGTTGCTCTTCGGCCCCTCGTAAGGAAAATGTTTCCCCACCTCCCTGGTTGTAGAATATGGAGTTTCTTCTTGGACTCCAGAGTAGCCACCCTGGTGTCGGGACAGCCGTGCACTGCTGTCGCCTTGACCCATGACTACGATTGTGTTTGCGGGATAACGCGATGGCGTAGGGTGAACATCACGTGTACGCACGAGCACACCACGTTTACGCAATACGGCAAATTAGGCGTGAACACCACGTGTGAACGATACTGCAGAGCACGCGTGGACACCGCGTGTGTGCTGTTTGAGATCGTGAATGTGAACGCCCTCGTGTGTTCTCACCTCTCTGTAGGAAGACAAGATCAACGCGCTGATCAAGGCAGCTGGAGTCACAGTGGAGCCATTCTGGCCCGGACTCTTCGCCAAGGTGAGTGGTGCATGGGTGAGAGGTGCTGAGGGTGAGAGGTGTGTGAGTGGTGCAGGGGGGGGGGGGGGTGAGCTGCGCATGGGATCAGTAGTGTAGGGGGTTGTGCAGTTAAAACACCACGAAAAAAACGAATTAACAGGTTTGAATTTACAGATTACTACCATTGATATATAAAGTGTTTGAATGCGTTTCACTTTAATGGAATTGATTGGCCTACAAATGGAAATTTGGGCGAGTGTAAGATTTACACTAAAACCTCTTTGGGAGCCCATGTGGTGCTGGGGTATATCCGGTTACTCAACTTGATGTGCAATTAACTCCACTCACTTAAATGTAATCCACTTTCCAATACTTTTGTGGAATTTTACCTTCTACAACAGTCTCTTTAATTGCTGTAATTTTAAATATGTATTGCACAACAACAATGTTAAACCGTTGCATACATGGATTTTGTAAAAAAAAAAAAATTATTTCTTGAAAACGATACTGCACAATTAAATATTAACATGGACCATCTATATATGACACTTTCCAACAATGCATTTGCACTCGGCAGTTTTTGGCGAATGATAACGGTCACCGTGTTTGCACCGGTAAGACCACAGGGCTCGGATGGGGCGCCTCTGCCCAGGACGAGAGCGCCGCACGCCGTGGCGAGAGTGGCCAGGATGCCTAAGGAGGGGGCCCTCTTAATTTATCCGCAAATCTTGGGCATCTCTTTGATCAATTTGGCCGATTTTAAACTAAAATTTTTTTATATTTTACCAGGTGAAGCCCACTGAGCTATATAGCCCTTTTTCATAAGCGACCTGGACACCAATGATAGCTCAACGAAGTGGCTTATCATTTCGAAATTTATAGCAGCCAAATACTCTAAATGCATGTTGATTCTAAAAGTGGAAGAAAAACTAGAGGACCCAGAGATAAATCCACTCGACTACTTGGGAAAGACATGCAAACTCCAAATATACGCCATCAGGTTTGGTTCGTATTTCCATTTTTACAAGCGTTATAGTGCCACCACCCACCCCTGTTATTGACGGATGGACAGAGATTTTACATGGCCACTTTCAGTGTTGTGGTTGGTGTTAGAAAACCAGAGAAGGGTTACCGGTTGAACAGCACATGTTCAACGATTGCATCAGTCAACTATGTGGTAGGCTTGATCACGCTGGTCAGCAAGGGTTTGTAACCTAAGGATTGTTGACCCCGATTTCTCAAGCGATTATCAAGCACGCTATAAAACTGAAAGTAACAACTAAAATCATAACCACTCATAACTGCACTCAGCTCCTGCGTGTGCAATCAACCACCCACACATAACTGAACCACTCACGGGCACCTCACCGAGATGTTGACTTCCTCACCTGGTATGCAGGAGGTTGTGGGTTCCATCTCGACCCTGACGCCTATATATTTGGAGTTTGCCTGTTCTCCTCGTAGCGGCATGTATTTTTGTCAGGGTCTTTCGTTTTTACGCTCCACATTTATAAACATACGTTCAGAGTATTTGACTGCAATAAGTTTCCACATAAGCCACTTCATCGAGCTATCGTTTGTGGCCAGGTCGCTTCGGTAAAATAGCTAATAGCTCAGTGGGCCTTACTTGATAACATAAAAATAGTATAGTTAAAAATATAGTTTAGTTTTATCAGCCTTTGGGTCCAGAGCTGGGCGGTACTGCACATAAGGTGTCTAATATTCATGGCGTGCGGTTTAGTGACGCATGGATGATGTTTGTAAGTATTGATGTTGCCTGTGTGGTGTGTTGGTGGTGGTGCATGTTAGTCATGGTGTTGATGACGTGTGCTTGTGCAGGCACTGGGCTCCATTGACCTGGGCAGCCTCATCTGCAACGTGGGGGCCGGAGGCGCAGCGCCAGCAGCGTCCGCGGGAGGGGCTCCAGCCAGCGGCCCAGCACCAGGTAACCACGCGTGCGTGGAGAGTGGTGATGCATTGGTTGGTACACTGCAACCAAGACTTTTTAAATCTCACTAGCCCTAGACCTAGCTGATATTAATCCCTGACTGCATCACAGTGCCAGAAAACTAGTTAATCTAGGGATAACATCTGTGGCACATGATTCCTCCCAATGCCTCCTTGACATTTGTAAATTTTATATAACCAATTGTTAATGCCACTTCTTGTGGAAAGACTTCTATTCGAGGGAGCTCTGGAGAGTATTTTGGCCTCTTTTCACATTCGGAATAGGTAGGAGTACACCCCACCCACCACACATCATGTGCCCACTGTGGTGTTCCCAATTATCTCTAGAATACAATGTCCAGTGCGCTAACCATTGGACACCATGGCAGTCTCCCACCTTGAGTTAACTCGGCCTTAAATAAATAGCTGGTGTAGAGCATATCAGACATGAGCAGACACAGCTTATGCGCGATGCTGGCAGCTTCAGTATGCCTTGCCAGCCTTAGTCATGCACTGCCAAGTTGTGTTTCCGGACTGGGCTCTCCCCATTAATCTAAGTCTGCCAATGATCGGTTCAATTATTCGATTAATATGAATACACAAATAGAAGTCGCATAATGAGGCAGGGACCTCGTATTATCAACTTTTAAAAGTAGTCGATTACTATTAGTCCATTAACGTACTGATCTTCCCACTCCTATAATTTTTATATGTACAAGTGTGCACGTGTTCATTCATGGTTGTGTGTGTGCACGTGTGTCCACAAACAGCTGCAGAAAAGAAAGAGGAGGAGAAAAAGAAGGACGAGTCGGACGAAGAGGAAGACGACGACATGGGTTTCGGACTGTTTGACTAGGCCTCTGATTCGGTTGGCAATAAAATCGTTGCGATAACAAAGCTGTGCTGCGTGGTGCCCTGTTAGAATATGTTGAGTGTTGTAATGTATAGGCTCTGGTGGATTTGATCCATCGGTCAGAATATTTAGCCTGGAGGAATTCAATGAGCTATGAAGCTCTTTGAATGCGTTCAGGAATGTGGGGTGTTCGAATGTGTGGTGCTGTGATGGACTTTATGATACTTATAGGATGTGTGGTGAAGCGTTAGATTGTGTGCCAGTGGTGGGTTACACTGATATCGCCTCTGTGGTGTTAGGCTGGTGCTGTGTGAGAATGCATGTGGTCTATTGAACGTGTTGATAGCACGTGTGCTGTGGTGCTAAAGACATTTGGTAGAAACACGAATCATAGATTACGAGATTTTAATAAGAACAGTGTACACAACGAGACTCGTGCAGATGCCTCTGACGCCACCAATAAGACTCCTTTTGGCTGGGGCCGGGGGGAGGGAGTCAGGGAATTGTTTTCAGGCACCCATGAGATTGTGGAAGGGGTTAATCGGGGACCAGGCAAGAGGGGTCTCGGGGTGGTGTTTCGCTGCCCTCTAACGGTGTGGCAGAGGCTTGTGCTGCTGGCAGTAGTTTAGCCATGGGCTGATGAGACATTTTCCTTTTTAAGGCCGTTCCACCAGCTCGACAAAGTGCTACTTGGGTTGGGCACTGTGCCCGCTCCACCTTGGCCCAGGCGTTGGCACGGTTCAGAGGGGCGCCTGGCTCGTTGGGGTGGGGGGCACGGTCCCTCGCGCCTGGTCCACGGTATCGAGCAGGGCCTTGGCGTCGATGGCCAGCACATGGGCGTGGTTCAGCAGGGGCTTGCGTAGCCCCTGCGCCACCGTGGTGTCCGCGTACTGCTGGGCCGTGCGCAGGCTGCTGATGAGGCGGCCCAGGTCGGCGTTCAGTAGCCGCTCCCCCATCTCCACCTGGGGGGGGGGGGCGAGTACGTGCGAAGACTGGAAGGTAGTTACAGCCTGAACAGGCCGGGGGCAAGTGGTGGTTTAGCGAGTGCCTATGGAAGGCAGGATGCGGCGCGCGAAGGGGTGGGTAGCCAACACCACGACCGGCCGCCTTGATTTCCCAAGTGACGACGCATCGTACCAGGTACTCGAGACTGAGACGACCGAGGGGAGGCCCAGGACCGGTTCTGAATTATTCATCACGGTCGTTGGACATGAGCGGAAAGCGTTACAGGCACCTACCATAGGGGAGTGCCGGATTAAGCTAGTGCAGGGCCTGTAGCATGTTATAAAGGGGCCCTACATTTAAAAAAAAAAGATTAAAACACATGTTTAACTTGCACAGTAAAGTAATTGTATTTTTAATTTGCTCTACAGCCAGATAATACGACAAATTGCTAACCTTGAACACCCAGTCGTTCATAAAAGTTGAAGGCGGTATAGTACTATAGTAGTAGAGCAAGTGCAGAATCACCGAACCGGAATTGATAGCTTGAAAGCATTTAGCGCGGGGCCCTTGAAAGTGCGAGGCCAATAGCTTGTGTAGCTACAACATATATAGTAGCTACTTGTGCTCTGAGGATAATTCGTGGATGGTGGATGTGGCGCCGCGGAGGTCCGACCCCCACCTGGCGATGCGAGTCGAGAGGCAGCGAGGGCAGCTCGTCTTCGACGGCGGAGAGGAGCGCGCGCAGAGCCTCCCCCACAGTCTGCAGGGCGGACACCACCACAAGCACCACAAGCACCACCAACATCAATCGGCATTCCACACATTGCTCACCCCAGATAGAGGTGGGGCGCCACGGTAACGCAAAGTTCACTACCTCGCCGGGGATGCACCCAAGTTGTGGGTGGGTTCGATCCCTGACGTCTTTACATTTGGAGTTTGCACGGTTTCCCCATGGTCGCATGGATTTTCCTCCGGTCTTTACCTCCACATTTGAAATCAACACCACGCGTTTAGAGCATTTGGCTGATACATTTCCACGTGAAAAGCCACTTCGTTGAGCTATCATTGCAGCCAGGTCGCTTCTGAAAATGAGCTATAGAGCTCAGTGGGCCTTAGGGGCCGTCCATAAATGACGTCACGCACCTAGGGGGGGGGGGTTCAGACATTTGTGATGTGTGACGGGGGGGGGGGGTTGAGAAATGTGACGTCACATCAAAATGCGCAACTTTAAATAAATATAGACAACACGTTCTACTTAATTAAATAGACTTTTTAATAAATGTTTTCTACAACATCAGAGTGCAGCGGCACATTAAATATGCACTACAATGACAATAGTTTAAAGCGATTTGAAGCATGTTTTATTTTGGGGGGGGGGGCAGAGCTTTGTGACGTCATTTGAGGGGAGGGTCTGACTTTTTATGACACTGTGTGACGATGAGGGGGGGGGCGTCAAAAATCCTCAAATCGCGTGACGTCATTTATGGACGGCCACTTACCTGATAACATAAAAAGTTTCATTTATAGCCGAGTTTTAGAGATGATCGGCGCGTGTGATTTCATCATCAGCAGCAGCAGCACTTGTCTCAGAGGCAACTGGCCAAACAACTCAATGTAGGAGCAGGGTTTAATTTCGGCCAGGTCTGTCATGCTTCGGAGGCAAATAAAATCTGTCTGTATCCAGAACACCACATCCATTTTCTGCAGCCCACGTGCTACCTACTCCAGTCTACCGGCAAAGCCGGAAAATATTTAATGTTGAACTTCTTTCGCACCGTACTGAGCCAACCGTGCTAATCGGAGGTGCGCCTGGCACGCCACATCCAGGATGTCCATCGCGAGGGATGCAGCTTCCAGCCACGTGCCGACTCCTACTTCCAGTTTAGCAGCCAGTGCTGGATTATCCTCGTATAACAAGTAGTAGTACATATGTAGTAGCTACACAAGCTATGGGCCTCGCACTTTCAAGGGCCCCGCGCTAAATGCTTTCAAGCTATCAATTCCGGTTCAGTGATGCTGCACTTGCTCTATTACTATAGTACTATACCGCCTTCAACTTTTATGAACAACTGGGTGTTTAAGGTTAGCGATTTGTCGTATTATCTGGCTGTATAGCAAATTAAAAAATACAATGGCTTTACTATGCAGGTAAAAAAAAATTGTGTTTTAATATTTATGTGTTTAAAAATATATATTTAGGGCTCCTCTATAACATATGCTACAGGCCCCGCACTAGCTTAGTCCGGCACTGCTAGCAGCTACCAAAACAGTGTGATAAATGTATCTGAGCCAGGACCCTCTTGGGGTGACGGGGGATGAGCATCACCTTGACGAGCGCGACGAGGTCGTCGGAGGTCGCGTCCGCGGAGCGCGAGTTGAGCTGCAGCACGGCCTGCACCACCCGCGTGACGCACGCGAACACCGCGTCGCCGGCGCGCTCACGTGGCGCCGTGCGGCCCAGCACCACCGGCTCGCCCACCTGCACACAGCACGCAGCGCGATCACTCACCAAGCCTGCACCTGAACTCACCACGCCGCTCACTCACTCGCTCGCCACGCCGCTCACTCACTCGCTCGCCACGCCGCGCGCTCGCTCACCACGCCGCGCTCTCGCTCGCCACGCCGCTCGCTCACCACGCCGCCCACGCCGCGCTCTCACTCACCACGCCGCTCGCTCACCACGCCGCGCGCTCACCACGCCGCTCACTCACTCACCACGCCGCTCACTCACCACGCCGCTCACTCACTCACCACGCCGCTCACTCACCACGCCCCGCACTCGCTCACCACGCCCCGCACTCGCTCACCACGCCGCTCGCTCACCACGCCGCGCACTCACCCGCCTGCACGCTCACCACGCCGCTCACTCACCACGCCGCCCACGCCGCGCACGCCGCTCACTCACCCGCCTGCACGCTCACCACGCCGCTCACTCACCACGCCGCTCACTCACTCACCACGCCGCTCACTCACCACGCCCCGCACTCGCTCACCACGCCGCTCGCTCACCACGCCGCTCGCTCACCACGCCGCTCACTCACCACGCCGCGCACTCACCCGCCTGCACGCTCACCACGCCGCTCACTCACCACGCCGCCCACGCCGCGCACGCCGCGCACTCTCCCGCCTGCACGCTCACCACGCCGCTCACTGACCACGCCGCTCATTCACCACGCCCCTCACCCACCTGCACACTCACCCGCCTGCACACTCACCACGCTTCGAACTCACCCAGCCTGCAACGCGCACTCACCACGCTGCACCCTCACCCGCCTGCACCACAGATGGCACAATACAATGCACTCTACCGCCGTCGCCGCACACTCTGTACCTGCAACACCGCACACCAAGTCGCACACAGCGCGCCGTGCGTACGCGTCACAACACAGCACGCCGCACACCGCAATCACAACAACCCCGGCGAGTCACCTTGGCTCCCGTGAGCTGCGTCTCTCCTCTGCCCAGGTCCCCCTCGGGCACCGATGGTGCCCCAGGCCTCGGGGGCTTCCGAGGAGCGAACACTTCTCCTGTCGGGCCAGCAGCAAGGGGGGGGGGGTGAGCTGACACTCGGAACGGAGAGCTCAGAGAGGGTGAGCTTTTACAGGCAGAGGGGGTGAGGGCTTACACGCAGAAGGGTGAGCATCCAGAGGATGATGTTACAGGCCGAGGGGTGAGCGTACAAGGGGTGTGCTGACAGGGAAGAGGGGTGAGATTATAGGGGGGGGGGGGGGTGTGAGCAGACAGGAGCGGGTAAGCCGATTCGAGTGGAATTATAATATATATTGGGGGACACACATCCCCCCCAATATATTGCTAAAATAGATTTATGTTTATATGATTGTGTAGTTATGGTTGTACTTTATTAATCCCTAATCTCTGCCATTACATACAATGAAACAAGAAAAGGTACAAAAAAAACAGAGCAATGTAATACAATACACTATTAGACATTATTGTAAAAAAAGAAAAAGTCCATCCTATGTGTTCGTGATTTTTAAAAATATTTTAGGCAGGAAATTCGTTTTAAAATTTAGATTTTTTTTCTGGGGGGGGAACCCCACACCCCCTGGAAGATTTGGTCCCCCTCAATGTTGACTCC